TGTGTGGAGAAACTCACGCAAGACAGGTTCGCGCCAAAGGTCTGTCTTTAGTGTCCAGCAGAGGAATGGGCTTGCGTCTGGGGAGTTCGACGTATAGCTTGTGTCGCCAGGTGATCTGCCCTGCGATGCCGGGGCAGCCATCTCTTGAGGTGAAACCGCCCTCGAGTACCCCAGCAGAGTTTCCGATAGACGCTGCCACTTGAGCAACGCCCTTGATAGATGGTTCGGAGATGACCCCCACGTCCTTTGAAAAGGTGCTGACTTTGATACCACACTTGATGCCGATTGGCAGTCCGAGAGTTGAAGAGACCATCAAGCTGCCGTCGGCCTCAAACACTGGCTTGAAGTAAGGCTCCCAGCCCTTGTTAGTATTCTTGCTTTCATCTACAAGATCAATAACGACGCGAGCGTCTTCCAATCCCATCTCCGCACCTGCAAGAAGTCTTCCCTTGGCAGCCGCTTGGAGGGCGACGCTCGTGCCCACTGTGATACGAGGCCCAATGGACACAACTCCAAATGAAAGGCCGGGCAGGCCGAGGCTGAAGAGCTCCGCCTTGAAGTCCTGCTTGAGAACAATCCCAGCATCGATGCCAACCTTGAGAACGAACATGACGTCTGTACGTATCTCGACCTGGCCTTCGACGATGCCCTCGCCAGGAGCCCATTTGGCTGAGCCAGCGACCTTTGCGTTGCCAGTGACACCGCAACCAACGCAGTAGACGTCCATGAACTCTTTGGCGCTTCCTCCATTACCCCTGACGCTGCTACTGAATCTTCTAAGGAGAACGGCGTCACCCCAAGGCGACCTCATCTGCTTGGCTTCCCTGTCTTGAACCTTTTTGGCGTCAGCATTCCCAGATGATGGATCCGGAAGCTTCCAGACGAACTCTCTGTTGATAGTTCCGGAGAGTGTCGTGGCAAATTGAACAGTCTTATAGATTTTATTGGCGATGTTGGCGGCCGCTTTGATGAGTCCCGCCTGCCGCTTGCGGTGCTGGTTGTGACGCTTCCTGAAGAAGCCCTCCGCATCTACATCAAAGTCAAACTCAGGCGGAAGGACTTCGTTCGGAAAGTCTGGTGCGTAACCAAGAATATATCGATGATCATCTTGGCTGAGATCCGTGTAGCCAAGAGAATCATCCAAATCTTCGTCAAAGAACTCTCCCAAGCAGGCCGTAGGAAGGCCGTACTTTGTATCCAGCGGTCCTGCGCAAGATCGCGTGGAGGAAAGATTGGCAGTGGTGATCCCAGATGGATTCGGAACTGGAGGCGCCGCTGCGGAGGCTCCAGGGGTGTTCGAACCAGGTTGTCCTCCGGACTCGGAGCCGGATCCCGGCGATACCGTTGGCTGAGGAGACCAGGTGAAGGCCGACCCAGAACCTGAACCGCTTCCTGAGCCAGTGCGCTGGATCCCTGGCTCTCCTTTCCTTGGTGACCAATGACCCCATGTAGCTGACCCAGATGTGGCGATCTCGTCGGGGTGACGGGCCTTGCCGTTGGCTCTGACAACATAGCCAGGAGGACCAAAGTCCAACTCGGACACTACGAAGTAGCATCTTTCACCCTTCGAATGGTCTCCGCAGCCTTTGATGAAAGCTAGCAGGATCAAGCCACCGTCGGTGGCCCAGGTATCCACGGCGTGTCTGTAAGCCTCCTCCGAAGCAAAAACAATTGTAAGAGCCCCGGCTGTGTAGTCCATAGACGCCACATGATCGCAGTGGTCGAGGTTCACTGATGGGGCCGAGAACCAATACGTCATGAATGCAAAACCGCCAGGCTTTGATGGGTCTGATTCTAGTATTTAGTAACTGAAGTAACAGCGCTGAAAGTCAGCACTCACCTCCAACGCCGTAGTACATATGAGAACCCTCATTGGCCGGGACGGGGATGACGTTCGAAGCCGGTGCGGTATCGCAAGACCAGTGAACATTGGGCGACAACGTGGCAATTGGCCCATTCTCCGCAAACGTGGCCGTCTGCTCGCCCGAGAGCCCGAATCGATTCGTTCCAGCATCTCCTGTGGGGCACGGAGGGGTCACTGGAGGCTCAGGTAGGACGCATTTGACGCAGGAGGACGTTGGGTGCGATGAGTTGGAGTACTCTTTGCCAACAGCGGGGAATCCGAAGGCACCCGCTGCCAGCAAGATGACAAGTGATGGTTGAAGAATCATGCTCGTTAACAATTGTCCGGGCAAAATACTCAAGGTGAAAGAACGACGAGACTGGCCCAACGGCTGATACCGTCGAACTATTCCAAGGGGCAACAAAACAAGAACTTCAGAAAGGAGTGTGGTAGACCTAGCAGTGACGTCGAAAAGAGTGACTAAAGTGAGCGAGCTGGAGATTGAGCTAACATGGTGTTAGTAGGCAGGTGACTTGGCTATTGTATCAAGCCATTTCGAAGAGGCCGACGTGAAGTAAGCTTAAGCATTTTTGCCGCGACTAGCCATTCTACAAACAACACCTTGAGCTGGGGCTAATATCATGCCATCGAACAGCCATCGCGTTCCATTACAAGCAGGGAGCGCCGTCGATCATCTGGTCTGGTTCATCCCAATGCCTGCATCAAATGCAGTGCAAGGGAGAATCGGCGATGGCTGTTGCATGTGAACGAGAGCAACCAAGGGTCGCCTAAGACATTTATGTCTGGATATGAGAATGTGAAGATGTTTCGGACGTTCTCTTTCTAGCCGTAGGTCTTGTAGTCATATAAGCAACGGTTATTCAATGTCTCTGGCGTTGAACGTGGCTTGTGGAGTAAAGAATCTTGTGATGCATTGACCAGTAAAACCGATCCATTTAAATTGCGAGATGCCAAACACGCGGCTAGCTGAGACATGAGGGTATTAGAGGTAAGCTTGAAGCATTTTAGGTTTTATCCCCTTTTCTGGAGGATTCGACCAGACACAACACTGAAGGAATTCTCATAAAGATGAACCAGACAAATGAGGGTAGATGTTTTTGATGTCGGTCGGTCATGAGGCATATGGTTAGTATTGCTTGGGTTTCAATCAGAACAGGCTGTATCAGCGTTCTCGAACATTTCGCTCTGACTATGCTGTAGGCCATAGTGACGATTTAAGGGGCCTTGGTGGCCAAACGTTCGCACTTTCAGAGTGTCTCAGCAAAAGAATAATGTGTTGGCTCGCCTATGTCTCAGCCTGGAATCCTTTACCCCTCTCAGTTGGATCCTCTAAAACATTTCCTTTTCCATTGGGCCTTTCCCATCTAGATTCCAATCGCTTTTCTCAAGAGGCCGACGTTCATGCTACACTTGTGGCGATATCGGTGTCGCCTTGGCTGGCTTGGGTTTGGTCTTGCGCCTAAATAATACTTGAAAAAGCTCAACTGACATACGTTGAGCGCTCTCACTTGCCATATCTGCTGAGAATCGACATTATCGCGCATGTTTGTAGCAGATTCTTCCCAGATCAGCGGTAGTTGGTAATCGGTTTTCAAAGTGCATCCAGGGGACCCGAAAGAAATTGTCATGAGTATCGTTTTCAAAGCCCCCAATAACGGCATGTAATCCGAGCAGGCGGCTTGTCCTTTTCTAGACGCTGAAAGTGTGATGTTGAATAGCCCGGAAGTAGCAGCATCTATTTGTCCAAGAGGCCAGCAGTTTTAACGGTTCTTCAGAAGTCTAGTCTTCCTCACTATGATTATGACGAACGCACGTCTATGTCCTTGGATGTGATTTAGATGTAAGTCCAATCGGCATGGCACGTGTAAAAACCTTCCACTAGCAAGATCCATCCTGCTGGAATCATTTATGTTGGGACTTCCAAGACCCCCTAGACTTGAAAGAGGTATTGTGACCTTCTGCTTGATGGACGTTTCGTCACATACGGAAATGGCATGCAGCACATGTGTTCATCTGGTCCAGCCGGAAGGATTTGGAGTCAACCCTCTCAGCTGTCACCGGACTCGTTCCTCCTGGTTCATCTCGCGTGACCATAATTCATCACTGTATGATCTGTTCTTCTTCTGTATGTACCTTCACCTGACATACCTTGGTTTTGAATTGCCTCTCAACTTACGATGGGTGGGAAAGAATTTACAGAAGAGATACGTTGCTGTTGAAATTATTTGTTTCAAGAGATTGAGTCCATGGCCAAGTACATCGTACTATCGGAGGCAAATGTACTTGAGAGCACAGGCCCAGTCAAACTCTCGATGAGCCCTAAAAGTTTCATGTTGAATGAACTGTGGGACTAACTTCTTCGATGGGATTCTACTGTTCGGAGGTCATGTCAGTCTTGTTTCTGAGCGCCCATGACTCTGGAAATGAACTGGGGTTGAGCAATGTAGCCAAGGGGGGTGGGGGGTCGTTTTTTTATTCACTACTGTATGGGTAACCCTGTTGGTGGCTCACGGTGGCTTACTCTCGCCATGGGGGTCAAGTATGCTGGGGGGGTTGGAAACGCTTCACTGCCATATTCGCAAGTATTTCACATCATTCATGCTACCAGATGTTTCTTCTGATTTAATTCGATCACTCGGGGAGTATCGTTTGACGTTTTGTGTAAACAAGCTGCCTTCACCTATCCACAAGCTTACGACATGGAAAAGGCGAGTTGTATCGACGAGGATCACGGGTCATTCAGAGACTAGCGCAAGAGCAATAATATATCTGTCGGAACACCTCGTTTCCACCACCGTCGCCGTTCCCCCCATCAGGTTCACTGAGATCAACCCACGAGCCTCGCCGATTTCTAAGTGTATCATCATCGTAACCTAGCTGACTTACAGGGACTTCGATGGCTCCGAGCTGGTTGCCAGACGTAAAGTAAGCATTGAAATGTCGGTAACAGACGCCACCCATCCAGACATCTCTTCATCAACTTTTTCTATATTTCTTTTTTTTTTTCGATCTATGCCTTTGCGGAACTTCAAGAAGAATGCTTTTCAACCATGGTGTATTGATTATAGGAGCGTGAATATGTAGGAGGGCCTTTTTCGCCAAACCCCTAAAGGTTTGCATCTTTCGTCTCAATCTCTCAACTCTTTATGTTTATACCAAGCTCTTTGACGAATGTTTTAGTACTCCACCCATTGACCTTTGAATACTTGTCAGTAGTAGTCGTGCCATTCAACACCTCGTACGCGACCCCTCTGACACAATCCTCCTTGTTCTTGATGCAGCCTACAACAGCCTCGCCCGCATTCATCCCCTCGTAATACGCGCCCTGCAGGAACCCAAAGTATTGTGGATGAGTGGCCTCGCCAGCGAACCACAGATTCCCGAGATTGGCGCGGATGTTTTGATGCATCTCCAACGTCAGACCCGGCGGCCAATTCGAGTAGGATCCGTACGCCCAAGGCTCACGAGTCCAGTTGTGATGGTAAAAGTCAATGGGATCAGGAATATCCCGCTGGAACATGTCCCTCAGAACTTCCATGATCTGGCTCTTGGTCGTATCAAAATCTTGAGCCTCCACAACGTAGGATTGCTGGTCGACCACGGTGACGAAGAGGATGCCTGAGCCGTCCACAAAGTCTGTGTGGTCTAGGGACTGGAAATAAGGATAGTAACCCCGCTGTACTGGATCGGCGTACAGGAAGAATTGAGTGCTCTTGTCCCAGAATACATCTTCTGGCTTGAACTGCATGAATATTTTCGTGTAGGTTCCCATGGTCATAGATTGGATGGCACTGCGTTTCCAGCGTGGCAGCTCTGGCGAGAAACTGACCACCTCCTTTTGCAAGACGCCTAGCGAGAACGTGCAGATGGCGTAATCGGCAGTGATGCAGCTGCCGTCTTCGTTGTACACCGTGACGGATTCTGAAGAGTAGGTGATGTTCTTCACAATAGTCTTCAGCTTTAATTGGCTAGTCTCGTCCAGGAACAATTTCGCTTCCTCCTTGAAGAAGGTGGCAAATCCTCGGACATCATGTACAAGATTGTTTTCGTTCGCCCAACGTTGGAAGGATGTGTTGGTGTTGACGACCGAGTACTGCTGAGACGTCTTCTCCGGAGGGTTGGCATATTCGAAATCAATCGAAGACCACTCGATCGCTTGGGCTAGCGGTTCGCTGCCCGGCTTCCAGCTGGCGATAGCGAGGCCGGCACGGGCACTGCGGTCTAGCTGGTTTTGAAGAATTATTTCACCGGCGTCGTACTGGTACTCTTCAGTGGCGTTATCGTACAGCGATTGAAGTTCCTTGAACCTTTCTGATAACCTGCCAGGGTGCACTTGGCCGGTCTCATCAAAGACTGTTAGGTTGGAGAAGTCGGAAGGTGTATTGGTTAGGTTGTACTTTTTGACCAATGTCAGGATTGGATTTTCTTCTGTTGGATTTTCAGTGCCTTGGACCCTATCCACATCATTAGTTGGACTCTCAAGACCACATAATATCTTCATACCAGTTCGCGCCGAGTTCAACAAAGTAAGGCTCGTCACTATTTGGCTGTCTTCCAAAAGCGCGATTGTACACACGCCCGCCGATTCGGTCGTTGTACTCAACAATTGTGAAGTTCTTGATGCCTGCATCGTCTAATACCTTGGCGGCAGTGATTCCAGCAAGGCCAGCGCCGAGGATCGCTACTTGGATCCTGCTGCATTTCCCCTCAATGTCTGCATGAACTTCTTTTGTCGGTGCACCTTGGGCAGAGGTAGCGAGGAGGAAGAGGAAGCTGAGAAATCGCGTAGGCGTCCACATCTTGAAAATCGATATTGTCCTGTGCGATCTCCGGAGCTAGTGTTGTAAAGCAACATGAGGGAGAATCTACACGAGCCACAGATATAGATATGGCGACCTACGAGACAGTTAAATACTCATTACTGCCTGGTCGTTCTCTGCTCTCGGAAAATATGCCAAGAAGCATGTCTTGGTGACTCTCAGGTCACTTCGAGAGTACCGGGTGGCTGCCTCCAAAAGGAGCGTTGCCAATTTTGACGCGCCGAGCCGTTGTGTCCGATGCCGCCTTGACAATGAATGGTGAGAGAAACAACCATTCTAACAATTCTCTTTACGTCGGCGTCCCAGGACAGATGCGGCTGACGTACAGCATGGAAGTGCGACACCCAAATTCATCAGGTGATGCCTCAGCAAATGATAGGTGAGTTTCTCTACCACAGCCAAGCCGCCATGTTTCGGAAATTACGTTGTTTTCAGCAACGAGCAAACATGTGTTCAAGATGGGACCAAAATAAACATATCGTCCACATAGACTAACGCCACAATATTGGAGAAGACACCAGGAATGCCCCGCGTAACATGGACTGTTTTCGTCGAGGCTGCTCGATCCGAGACACCGCTCCGGATGGTCGCGTGAGACATGGAGACCTGTTTAGTAGTCTAATAAAATACCTGTCTGCTTTTGGCAATGGGTCTCTTGCCAGCTGCTCAGGCCATGGATTGTGGAAGTTTCATATTCGACACATCCTCGTTCTTACTTCGAAACAACCCTCACCGTCCCGCTCTGCAAGCGGGACTCAACATCCAGCTATGGAAGTGAGTTTCTAGCATTGCCTACCATACAATCCTTGAATGGTTGTTAGCGTGGTCCTTCATTAGAAGACAGTCTCTCTTTAGTGCCTACTTCAGCTTGTAGGAAATATTCTTATGTTTTAGAAATCACGAGGCGATTCAGGTAGAGGGTGTAGCAAACTCTCAAGGATCATATTGTACTTCAACATTTTCAAGTCTAGGATGAATAGGATGAGCGCTCAATACAGCGTTACAATTGAGATGGATGAGTTTTTCATGGGATTTAAAGAAGAGACATCGTGGCATTCTCTTCCTTCTGTGCTTCCCCAGCCGGTGATAACTTTCCCTAATCTTCCTTCTGCAACATCTTGAACGCCTCTTTCATGACGTTGTGGTCGCAACTGCACCTCTCCAAGTCCACATCGTTTTCTGCAATCATGAGTTAGTGTTGATAATTCTGAACAATTGAGGAAGTTGGTTCCGTACGTGGAATGTCTTCGCCAAAGTAGTGGACGTATTCTTCCGGGACCTTCTTAGGGTCCCATTTGTGTTGAGACGACATGAGCTGCACAGTAGCGGCTCGCTTGACTCGCAGGTCATTGAACATTTCCAATCGCGTCGGGATATCCTCTAAGGTTGTCAACCTTGACATAAGCACACCGAGAGCGGCGGCGTCCTCAATCGCCATGGACGCCCCTTGCGCACGTACTACAAAGGTCGCGTGAGTTGAGTCGTCTTCACAGCATTATTTCAAAACTGACTTACAGGGAGGCATTGGATGAGCCGCATCACCAATGATCGCCAGCCGACCTCGGGCAAATCTGTCAAGAGGCTTTCTCGTTAGGAGCTTCCATTCTCCTATGCCACTGGCCTTCCTGTGAAGTTCGTTAGATGGAATGCAGGATCTTGAGAGACTAGGACCAGATTTCAGGGCTTACGATGCGAGAGACTGGATGAAAGCAGGATATTTTTTCAGGAAGCCTCCAGGATGAGCATCAGTCTTTGACCCGTTATTGACTAACATTTATGAGTCAGTGGCGGAAAGAGCAGATTGTTTGGCATATGAAATTGGCATACCTGTGGTGGCGTCCTTAAGATGCTCTGCTGGATACATGAATGCAATGTTCTGCAGCGCGCCACTGCATTTCAATAAGTCAAACATTCTGTATTCCAGACACGGTGGGCGCTTTTCGACTTACTTTCTGCAGCCATACGTCACAAGACTGCCGTCGTCAACTCTGAGGACTCTAATAGAGTTGTATCCGCCCTTGAAAAAAGCGTTAGTATCGGCATCATGAGTCATATGCTCCGTAGGCAGCAGCAACCGAGTCATTGTCATGAAGTGCTGAGACGGTATCTCTTCACCCAACACCGTGGATATGAAGGAGGACTGTGTGGGTAAGCTTCAAGTGCTGCAATGGGTCACGATACTCTGAACTCACACGGACGCCATCGGCTGCGACGACAAGATCCTTCTTCACTGTCGTTCCATCTGGGAAATGAACAGTTCCATCCAGATCGACACTTGAAACGGGTGTGGCGAGATGAAGGCGAGCAAACCCCTTCCGTGAAGGAGTTGGTTCAGTTGCAAGCTTCCTAAGCTCATCATGGAGATCGACGCGATGGAAGAAGTGCCAAGCAGATCCGTACTTGGACTTATAATCTGAGAGAGGAAGTACTGTCTTGTCCCCCAAATCTTCGGCGTCGTTGTTGTAGATCAGCTGCGAGGGCAGTCAGTGCCATGGCGTGTTCGTTAACAAGCTGGATTCCGCTTACACTTTCTGCCGGCGTGGCCTTGGCGCGACTGAAATCGAAACCGAAGTAATCAAGGATTCTTGAGGAATTGGGTGGTGCTGAGATAGCTGCTCCGACTTCTTTGCTGAATTGAGACTTCTCGAAAATCTGGGCTTAGGTGAGTAGGTTCTAATTATCGGTTTCCAGCGATGTTCATGCCTACCTCAACTTGATGTCCTCCTTCTAGCAAGGTAATTGCTGCCATAAGGCCTCCAATGCCAGCACCCACAATTCCCACCCGCATAGTCTTGTGGCTATCTTTGGGTGTTAAGGTCCCTCGAGGGGGTAATCCAGGTTGATTGATGGGGGCCATTCTCGAGTTGGGCGTAGTCCTCGACGATGCACCTTGAAGGCGAAATCTTAATAGTCGAAAGTTGCCAGGAGAACCTTGCTTTTCAAAACCTTCACGACAATTCGATGAACCTTGGCTTCTCTTTCATATAAGAGGTACGGGCAGCCTCGTTCGGGATGTGGAGAGGCCGGATGTGGAGAGCCGATGAGGATCCATAAGCCGGATACACCACAATACCGCTGCATCATAGAGGACCACTTCAATTGAGTAACTGAGGGTACAATCAATACAAACCCCTTCTCGCGGATCTCAGAAGTCCCCTTTGCTCATTGCGAGTTCTTCCACCTTCCTTCTTCACTTCCTCTTAATGGTCCTTGTTTTCTCTAGATAGGTTTGACAATGAGTCGCAAATACCCGCAGCACATGATGGCATATATTTGCCTTCCCAATTCATTTTAATTACCTCCCTTATGCTTTCTCCGAAGGCCTCTGACTTGATTAAGACTGGCACAGAGCGAACGCCGTAGACTGCCAGGCCGATGTTGCCAACCAAAACATGATGCTCCTGGCACCCGTCCTCATCTATAATGCAAGTTGGTAGTGCTGAACCGTCAAGGCTTTGGCATGATTGACCATGCCGCCAGAGAAGCAGAACGGCTTGGAACAAAGACGAGGCAAATACTCCACAAAGCTTCCCTGACGGACAATTTCGCGCTGCTCGAATAACCCGACCCGCTCGCCAAAGCGCATGGCAATACTCAGTACTTCGACTTGGGCTTGGCGAGGGGCCTTGGCACATCGGGTCGCTTTCGGGTCGAGAAAAGGCCAGGTGGCGTAGGATGGGGGTATCCCGCTGTGTGAGGGTGTGCATAATGAGGGCCTCGAAGAGAACTTCCATCTCAGCAGTTATTGGAACCTCAGTAAGCTGAAGCTGAGAAACAAAAGCTTTCATCGTGCAACACAACTCGTTGCGTCTTGAGCCTAGTATCATGTGGCTCCAAGTGCTCGACTGCCCTAAGACAAAGCTGAGTTGATGGCACTCCATGCATAGGGCCCAAACTCCAGCCAGAAAAGCGAAGATTGCAACGTCCGAGTCCATATCTTTGAATCCCGCGGGACTAGATAGCGGCTGAGCCATAAGCTTTGTGAGGCAGATGCTTGAACGTGGCTCTGACACTTGCGCCACGTGTAAAGCAACGATCTCGTCCTTCCACTGCATGGCTGACGACGCTTTCCACAACCGACTGGGAGCTGGCAATGGCATATCCATATCGACATATGTCGAAATCATCTGTGTTCCATGTGACATGGACACATGGGCGTCCAAGATGTAGGAAGCATAGACCAGTCGTCGTTGGGACTCGCGTAGGGACCATTGACGCCATAATCCATCAAGGGTATCTCCATGGGCTTCCGTGATAGTTGACAGGTCTTGACAGTCTGTCTGCCTGGCTCCCTTCATGTGGCCTCCATTCATGATCAGAACTTCAGCAGCTTTCGAACAAGCTTCCGCTAGTGCAACCTTGCGTCTCACACCGCTAAAGAAAGCAATTTGCTGCTGTAACAAGAAGCCTTGGGCTAAGCTGATGTCGCATACCGCGGCATTATTTCCTTCCCACTGGAGTCGTCATCGTCTTGTTAGCCGCTGAAGGTCGGGGATTGTGTCTAGGACTCTCACACTGTCGAAGGCTGACGCTCTCACAACTTCCTGCATTGCATATCCAAATTTTCGGGCCACTATTGATTCCGCTTGAATTGCGCCTATCGCTATCAAAGCTCCTAGCAGCTCCGGTGCCTGTTTGCAAAGGTCAAGGGTTGGCAAATGCACAAAGTCATAGATCTGAGTGGCCTCCCAGTAATCTGAGTAGATGTCAAGAAGCGAGCTCAAGGCTTGGCACCCAGGAAAACATCCAAGTACCTCTGCTGACCTGGATTCCGATGTTGTCCTTAGAATCATGCCAACAACTTTGCTGCGTATAGCCGGCGACACACACAGCTCGGGTACCCGGTTCCCGGTCGCTTTTTTCGAGTGAGAAACTCCGAACGCCCCTTCACCCACTGCCAGATTCTGCCGCTCCATCTCGTTATGCTCGTGGTTCTTTGGCTCCCATATATCTGAAAGCGCAACATTCTTACTTCCAGAGACCAGAGGAATCAGTGTGTCTTGGCAACTGTCCGAGACATCACCAGGTGTAGTATTGGCGTCACCCAACTCGAACTGGGCCTGGATAAAAGAGAAGTCCAGCGTCCCAATGTCCCAATCCGGTCCAAAGGAGAAGTAGTCTGCATGGCGCTGATAGCATGCCTGAGGAGTAATCGGATGTTGTGAATAGATCATTTGAATTGACCTGGTCACCAGACGAGGATGAATCTGGGTCATATAATCGCGGGCTAGTCGAAGATTCTTCGATGAAATCTATACCTGCCGTAGATAATGCCATGGAATCTTGAACGGTTTCACCGTGAACCACGTGCATGCTGACACTCTGCTCAGCCTCTGGTGCAGACTTTGCAAGTTCGACGTCTGAGGCGGCGTTTTCCCCTCGCTGTCTTCTCTGCAAATCGCCGGGCTCTTCTCTCTCTTGATGAGCTGGCTCATATTCGCAAACCAGTCCTTTGGCAAGACATCGGTGACATGGCTTTTCCTCTGAGCATTTGGATTTGGTCGACGAGCACAACTTGCATGCTTTTCCAACTCGTTCGGTCCCGGCACGTTGAGAATTGTCGGCAAGCACATCATCCTCTCCAGGGTGTGCAAATTGATGCCTCCTCAGAATATCTAAGCGTCCGAAAGCCTTCCCGCACATGTTGCACGCATAGGGGCGCTGCTTTGTGTGGGACCTAACATGACGAACGAGATGTTCGGAGCGGTGATATCGACGGGAACACTGTGAGCATTGATATAGACCATCTCGATCCGTTCCTCGACCAGATTGTTGTTTAGGCATTGGGAACAAATGGTGAACGCTCAAGAACGTTCACAACAATACATGTAAGGACGAGCTGTAGGTTGAAAGTCAATCTCTGAGGAGCTAGTTTGAGCCAGCAGTGATGAAAAGATTTGAAAATCAAAAGGAGGGCTCCCCCTGCCTATCGAGTTTCCCAGCCCATGCCCACAGGTGTGGGTTCGCGCCTGGACGCCGCTCAGCTACGAATGACTTCCAAGCGGAAACCTCAGTTTTCAGTCTCATGCAAGGTTCTTGATTCGATCATCACCGGATGATCAACAACGCTAGCGGACGGGGCCGTCTGTTCCACTAGTGTACCATGCATATCGCGGTTTTGCGGGACGAAGGGCGCATCGTCTCCACCCACACTGCCACCATCATACTCGGAAAGCTGCCGTTTCGGACATCGGTGAACATCATGCTCCGTTCGCCGACTCCGTCCCCCGATCTTGTCCATTGAGAATGGGATGTCGGTCTTTGTTTGACCGAGAAGCAGCGGTTTTCACATTTGGCCTTGTGGGAATGAAGCTGTGTGTAGACAGTCCTCCAACGAATCGATCTACATTGTATAATTTGCTCTTGAACATATGTGGTCAGTATGATCAGCGTCAATGCCTGGCTAGTCAACGGTTCCCTGTTCAAATTGACTGCAACCTGGCTCAGCAAAATGTCGTTACTCCGGCCTCTAGAACATTCGGCACCATACATGTCTGCCTCAGCATAAGTCCGACTGCTCTTGTGGTCTCCTGGGTACTCTGATTCATTGTAGCACTTTACGTGCGCGAGGGAGCCAAGAAAAGAGGCACTATGTCATCGGGGAAGACCAAAATGGGAAGAAACGGAAACAGAGATGATAAAGTGGATGAAAAAGCCAAACCCCAGAAATATTTCGTTAAATGTCTCTGAGCCTGTGAGGCGTAGGGATTTGCAAAGTCAAATATTTGTGGCAACGGGAACGTCTTGGCGAGAGCTTGGGAAGTGCATGACAGAAGCTGAAGTAGGAACGGCTGGCGTTTAGTTTAGTTCACTTGTCGAGTTCATTTGACATCGGCCCTTGTTGAAATAGAGGTTGAAAAGGGCAACGTCCGAGCAGATTAGACAAAGGACATGTAAGCTTTCAATAGGGAACATTTATGGAGTTTCAATTGAATCGCCTCCATTTCAGGCTGTAAGTATCCGCGTAAATTCAGCAACGTTGTGCGTTTCTAGAAAGTGAATAAGCGGAATACCGTCTCGATCCTATCTGTGTCTCGGAAAGATTGTATCATTACAGAGGCCTGGCTACCAATCTTGACGTGCCCACGGACAATGATATCCGTACGGATTACGTTACCAGAGATTGTCTTCCAGAAGCATTCGCCAATGCGGCAACGGCGGCTCAGGTCCCCAAGACTGCGGTGTGTGATTTAACCACTCGCTTTCCCATTTGTGTCTGCTCCATCCTACGTGCTTCCAAACGATAGACTCCACATCCCAAGATCCACCTATGTCGAAATTGCAATGCACAACAGATGTTGCTCTCGCAATATCTATCAATGATTGTGGAAACCGTTCGAATATATAACCCCAGTAGCCCGGTCGATCTGCGGGGGCCCTAGACCGCGAGACCCTCTCAATTTGATGGAAGTCGAACCAACCGTGTCTCAACACGCTTTCACCCTTTCTCTCGAACCATGTAAAATGGCCGAGTATGCCTCGCTCAATAGCTTTTGTCCAAGCTTGCTGCCAAGCAGCATCTCGCTGCACAATTGACTCGAAAATTTGTGAGCATAAATCAGGGCACGGTTCGCCGTCGAGAAGGAGTGAGAATGATCCTGGTGGCATGCCCTCTTGTTCGAGCGCAAGAGCCTCTGTGATCCACGTGGCTACGTTCGCCGTTATCTGGTCCGAATTCATTACACAAGGAGTCCGTCTTGTTGCAATTTGGTTGTGCCAACATCGCTCATCAGGGTGCTCATAGAACATATCTTCCTGAAAGACCACGTTCCAGAGATTGACACGACGCTCAACTTGGATCGGATATTGTTGGCAGAACGGAATTAAGCCTCTGGCGTGCTCTTGTGGGTAAAGAATGGCCTCGTAATCTTCGTTCAGAATGATTTGGCGTAGATGTGTACGAAGAGAGTGCGGTATTGACTGTAAGAAATATATGGCCGTTGCAGCTGCAGAGAAACGATACATAGAGCGGTCGTCTCTATGTTTGGGACAAGAAAATTCGATGGGTACCGCTGCTTCCAACGCGTCCATCTGGCTGTCGGATGGGATGGCCCAAGGATCAATATGACTTTTGATAACGTCAAAAGGTGACCATCTGTCTATGTGGCCCGTTGGAAACATGGGGGGAGAAAAGTCGCCAACCAACTTTCTGAAACCATCGCTCTGAGTCCAAGCTGCATCCAAGACATCTTTGATAAACCCACGATAGACGGAAGGAGCTTCGCCATAGGGCTCGTGACGCTCCAAGCACAGACCAGATTCTTGCACGGGAGCTCGGGGGCCTTCAGCTCTCATTCGATCCAACAACGGCATGAACTGTGGGTAATTCTTCTGGACTTCTGCATAGACGCGATCGGGTATGAGGTGTCCATAGGTTTGGAACATCTCACATCTTACAAAATCCACGCCGCGACCCTTTAGCTGTTGAAATTGACATGCCAAATGGCTGAACTCGACCGAATTCAGGGTCGAAAACGTGATTGAATTCGGTTTCAGAGCAAGTCCGCCGCGGTTCATCTCGTTGGCTATCTGTTTGCAAGTGTAGACAAGAGACAGATCGACTTCTTTTTGGCTAGCGCCCTTCAACTTTCCACGGGTAAATCCATCGGTGTCGCAAATGTACCCTCCGTCGGCGATGAGGTAAAAGCTGTAGATAATGTCTCGAAGCTCCCGGGGAAGCCTGAGAAGGGGAAAAGGTAACATGTCGAATCAAAGAGAGATGTAAGCATACCGATCTTGTTGCTCAAGACTACCCCGAATGAATGGAAGTCGACAAAATATTTGGAGGGCAAAGGGTAGCGCAGAATTCACCGGAGCAAAAACGATCGTAACAAACTTTGGGTACCTTGTCGGCCCCATGGCTGTCAAAGTTTATTTATTCAACTGATGGTCATCGGTGTAGGCAGCAAAAAGCCACATAACCGAAGAGGTTCTTGCACAAGACAGCAACAAGATTCCGGTGATCACATTTACCCCAGAGCCGGTGAGCTTTTGCATCATGCGATATTCTATCCCGAGGACCACCAACACCTAGGGTCCCCATGTATACCCGGATCCGAACAGCCATTCGAGCGTTTGCAGCACTAAGCCCACCTCCGAGCGGGTATTTTGGTCTTCAATCACGGTCGCGCTTCTGGGTTAGGATGATCCTGACCCTAAAAGACCAGACTTCCTCCCTTCGACATAATTGCTTCTTCCTTAAAGTAGGTTCGGCTAGTGGGTTCTCTATCCACCATTCGAAGTTGACACGACCGGTTGGTACGAGGAGAGTCAGTCTGGTTACTTCGAAGTTATCATGACAGCGACGACTTTTCCCTTTCTAATACTTTCTAAACTGAAAAGGGGCTGAATCATGGAGAATTCTGACTCTGCGCTCAGACTTCTCGCACCAATAAGCTGGTGTTCGATCCCACTTTTGCGTTCGCCCTCGAATGACCCCTGTCATATCGAGGACAGCCGTGCGTACCCATTCCAACTACATCGAGCTTTGGCGTTTCTTGCCAAAGGCAGTGGGTGCCATTAGCGCTAGCTATTGGCACGCATCATGACTGCATGGGATAGTGGCGCTCGTGCAACGATGTTGTAATGAGGAGAACATTCTGTCGTCGCATAGCATCGATTCCGAATGTATCCCGTCAACAAGATAATTCTACCATTCAACCGCACTTTATTAGATGGTCCTTTTTGGTGGAAATGTCACCGAACTCCAGCGATATGTTCACATGAACTACGTGAAGTTGCAGGGTCCTTTTCGGCCAAGTAGGTTTACTATGCCCAGAGTTCTGCTGCGCTTAAAAGGTACGATAGCTACTGTAGTTAGCTAAAAAAGTGTTATTCGCATTTCCTGTATCATAGCTTATGCAACTGTTACGTGGCAACTTCGACATCAATGTTAAGTCCTCCGCACCTGCGGATATCTCGGAGAGAACCACGTTAACAAGTCCACGTCTACACACCTTGAGATCGACGTCAATTATAGAGGCTGGAACCCCAGGAATGGTGTCTCGGCGGATTCGACGGAGTCATCCCCCGGATTACCTTCATCTGCCGGCTGGAGTCTGCAAGGATAACGTTCTCTCTAATTAATATTGAACGAGAGTGCCACAAGCTCAATCCGGTCTCAACAGCTTCTTAGCGCTCAAGGACGATTCAGCTAACGTAATTATGGCAGGAACGGTATCCAACGGTTGCAGGATTTGGCCTTCAGGAGCCCTCTGGCATTCGTTACTACTTGGTCTGAGACATAAATCACCCGAGTGAAGGCCGAGCTCAGGCGGCATCTCACCCCTTGCCTCTGTCTTACCCTACTTCTCTTCCCAGCTGGGAAACTACCGGTGGGAGTTATTTTCGCACAAGCGATCTGCTAAGTAGCGTTGAGAGGTTCCGTCTATGATTTTCAGTCTGTTCGCGTTGCAATCGTGGGGAATACCGATGTGCTGTTCATGTGGCTAATGTGCCTCACTCCGGTCAATGCATGGATATTGGAAAGACGAGGCAGAATTCGGTGCCAACCACTGCGCTATAATATGGAAGTCGAGAAATATCGATTGTAATTCAGTAGCCCCAGGTGCAAAAGAAAACAGACCTCGATTTGATATATGATCTACATCTCAAGGGGTTTCTCTGGTATGGTCGTTCTGAGAGCGCCAATGTTTGGAATGGAGTCAAGTGAGTGAAAATAGGACTGGGTAAACAACACTCCTGTTGTAATAGTGCTAGAATGGTACCTCGAACCGGCTTACGAGATGGGTACGGGCGATGGATACCCTCCGCAAATCTTCTGTCACAATGAGCTACAGTCGGTGAGAAGACGCATGCGTCCGTTGATGGAGACGATGATCATGTTCATTCCAAGACATCTCTAGGTGTTGGACCCCCTCGCTGGAATGTCGCTCGAGCATCATCACATCGAGATGATGCCTCAACAGTGTCACTTTTATCTATTTCGAAGTCTATAAAATCTGGCTGTTGCTCCTCCCAAAACCAGATTCTCTTCCTCCTCATCACACAACAATCTCATTCAATCATCTTACATCCTTCTTACAATCACCCATATCCTTCTTGATCCTTCTAATTCGCTTTCTTTCCAAGAACAACTTCCCAAAACAACTCTATCTCTCAAAATGCGTTTCTCCGCTGCCACCGTTTCTGCCCTCGCCATGGCTCTCACCGTCGCCGCTGCTCCCGGCAACACTGCCAAGGAGGCTCTCGCCAAGAGAACCGACGACCTCACCATCGCCGATGCTCAGAGCATCTGCGGCAAGGATCTCAGCGTCAACTGCTGCAACCAGGTCGATGCCAGCACCAATAACAATGACAACTCTGGGTCTGGCATCCTGTCTGGTATCCTGAGTGGTGTCCTTGGCAACGGTGGCCTGAAGCTCACTGATGGATGCTCCTCCATCGGAGTTGGCAGTGAGCTCTTTGCTAAGCCTGTTACTTGATACACACTGACATCTGCCAGTTGCCAACGACCTCCTGAACAGCCAGTGCAAGCAGAGTGTTGCCTGCTGCAAGAACGACGGCAACACTGTGAGTAGTCACTGTGATATCTATGAGAAACACCATCTGACAATTTCAAGGCTTCAGGTCTCGTTGCTGTTCAGCTCCCCTGCATTCCAATCTCTGGTCTTTTGTAAGATACCAAATGGATACATTCAGATCGCAGCATTCGAAAGAGTGCCAGTACACGGAAACGCTTCTGGTTGGAAACATGTTCAGGCAGTAGGAAGTGTGGGCGAGGATCTCGGGTGATATGTAAACTTCAATTCGCAGCTGAGGTCTAGCTTTGCTTGGCTTTTCAATATACTTATGATTTATCCAAGTTTTTTGTTGCAAGACCTCGGTGTAAAATCAACGTTACCGTAAGAAGAACAACACAGCCCAGTTGCCTTGCATATCAATGACACCGTCAACCTAGTGACGCTATCCGATTATAGTTTTATGAGATCCATAGAATTTTTGCTGAAAGTTTGCAGCTAAGGAATTTCAAGAAAGTTGATTATACGGTATCGGAATTGTAGAAATCACAGATTCAATGGTGTGAATCAGCGATACCATAAAACCTAAATGCTGCCACGTGCGACCGATGCATACGAGCCATACCGGCCCTTTCATTACCTATCCGCCGCGGTGTTTTCCACATCCTCACCGACAAATTATTGCGATAGACTCGCAACAAGCAACTCAACTACTTCGAAGGTCATATGCACTGCGTTGGACAGCTTCAGAAAATGCGACCGCCTCCGATTGTCGCAAATTAAATTGATGTCAGTTATTGGTGCCAAGCTATCCCGTCGGCCGAGTTGACGTGCCGAAAAACTCTATGCGAAGCATGGGTGCCGTCGCTACTTAATTAGGATGGATGCCTTCATACTTCTATCCATGGACCCGGGATCGTGCGATGAATGTTTGGCAAGCGAAAAGCACGTGCTGCGTACAAGACCATGTTCTTGATCTAACTCTATTGCGTCCAATCGCATCTCTACGCATCCCCAGTTCCGGGATCTTACTTTGTACGGTCTTTGTAGTGAAAGTTGAGAGTTTGGTGTCCTCGCCTACAAAAGACCTCTACCGCAAAGTATAGCAGACAACCATAACTACCTAGTGGCTTCGATACATTTCTTTGATCACGAATACAAACTTTCACATCGGGCGGCTCGGGTGGGCCACCTGCTGCTGTAGGATAATTTCTGTCGCGAAGACGGAGCGCATTTAATTACATTGCCGCTCCGTTCCCCGGAAGCCTGGAAGGGATCCAAGTAACACAATGATCGGTCCTAGCAAAAGTCGCTTGTCTCACTTCTAGAACGCTAGACAATTCCAATTTGGGCATCTTGAAGATCGCCAGTAGTGGTTTGTAGTTGATTTTCAGCGAGCCGATTCCAACATGGCGACTTCCACAACTCCGCCCGAGTGGCCTTTTCCCTACCTTGCCGTGGTTGTGCTCGCGCTGGCTACATTGGCGATCCTGTCTACATTCCGCCGAGTCAACAGCAGATTTGACTTTATGAAGAACGGCATGTCAACCCTGAAAAAGGAGGTAGAGAGGCATCCAAGCCAGCCCTTTCGAATGCCTACGGATCTAGGCGAAGTGACGGTTATTCCCCCTGACAATGCCGCGTATCTACGTAACCTGACAGATCTAGACTTCCGAGAAGCCATCACAAAGGTAAGCACTCGGTCACGGGGGAAGCGTAGCAGCTAACTGGAGAAGGAATTTCATCGCCATCTGCCAGGCTTTGTTGCCTTTGGAATTGTGAAGCATCCAGCACACATTCTCCAATCAGTGGCACGGAAGCAGTTGACCCAACACACGAGTACGTCAGGCTGATTCGACCTCCAGCCTCCTCTGAAGAGAACCTCCAAGAAACTAAAGACATGTGTTTAGACACAATCATCGAACCCCTATCCTCAGAAGCCTCTTTCACAACCGAATTGATTTTCGGCAGTCGGCCTGGTAGGATGTAGCTCCCCTTGCAATATGAAGCCCGTCATCTGATGACTTTCAGGATGGAAAGAGATACCAGCTAAGGACGCCTTGTTGGAGCTCGTTGCTCGCCTGTCTTCGCGAGTGTTCCTTGGGTCCGACATTTGCCGCAACGAGAAATGGCTTAGGATTACCAAGGAGTTCACAACGACTAGCTTTGCCGCTGCTGCCAAGCTTAACATGCTACCATGGGTTCTAAGACCGCTAGCCAACTTACTCGATCCATCTTGCCAACAGGTACGGGCCTTCATCGCAGAGGCGGAGGGGATACTACTTCCCGTTATCGAAAGCCGTTGCAAGGTCAAAGAGGCGGCCAAAAAAGCTGGCAAGCCAGTGCCTGTGTTCAACGACACCATCGAGTGGGCTGAGGCGGAGTCGCAGGGCACACAGTACGATCCGGTCGCGTTTCAGTTGATGATTTCGTTCGTCGCAATACACACGACGTATGACCTGTTGGGTCGAGTTCTGTTGCTCTTGGCGGAGCACCAGGAGACTATCAAGCCTCTGCGCCAGGAGATGATTGAGGTCTTACAAGCCGAAGGCTGGTCCAAGACGGCGCTAAACCATATGAAGCTGTTGGACAGCACTATCAAAGAATCTCAAAGAATCTCGCCAACCTCTTTGCGTGAGTTCCTTCACGAGAAAGCCATGCAGCAATCGTGTCTAACCAAGTTTACCAGTAACTCTGCGTCGGATCGCAGTCAACGACGTCACACTCCCCGACGGCACTAGAGTTCGAAGAGGGGAACGCCTGTACACCCACTGCTGTAACATGATGGAGCCCGAGGTCTATCCGAATCCAGACAGGTTCGACATCTCTCGGTTCAAGCGGCTTCGAGAACAAGCTGGGGGCGAAAGCAAAGCCCAGCTCATCACCCTCACTCCGGAGCATCTCGGGTTTGGCTACGGAGTGTACTCTTGTCCGGGACGTTTCTTTGCCGGCCACGAAATCAAAATTGCCTTGTGCCACTTGCTTTTGAAGTACGATTGGAAATTGGCCGATGAAAGTGGATTTAATCCTACCATCATCGGCGTCAACTCGTTCATTGATCCCAGCATGTTGATCATGTTCAAGAGACGCAAGGAGGAGATTGACTTGGATGCGTTACGATACGATGAGGGGGTCGCATTCGAGAATGAGGGTACCAGCTCTGGTTGAATGTTGAGCATAGCCTCGCATGTTCGTTCTACTGCCCAACGCTTACCAAGAACCTCCAGCATACGAAACTGAACTTCATCTTCACTTTTCTTTCACGTTGAAGTCAATTTACAGAATTATCATAAAAGATAACCTGTGTTATGCTTCGAGTTCTACTGCAGCGTTACTAATTAGGTTAACAATATTACTCTCAGCCTAGATTGTTAAGAAAGAAAGGGTAGCCAGTCACTTGCGAAGCTGTGCCCTGATCTTGGTATCTCCCATAGAACAGACACGCAACTAGACACTGAACCTGTTCGTAAGCACAATGGACACAAAAGCAAAAAGAGAACGCGCAATCGCGGACGGGAATTGAGCCCGACGTGGGGGTCGAACCCACAACCTTGAGATTAAGAGTCTCACGCTCTACCGATTGAGCTAGCCGGGCAGATCTGGTGATCTGCCATTTGTTGTTGCAGTCGGCCGCGGTTGAGTCATAGAAGTAGCGTCAGCGGGCCGCGACGTGAAGAGATTTTCATGCGGGTGGGGCCGCTGCGGGTTCCGGCCATCTGTCGGTCGGGATTATGCCGACGTCATCCTCATGAAGAGGGCGGCCAGCAACGCTCCGTTGCAAACCAAAGATAAGGATTTAGACACAGCACGAAGTTCTGAACTTTGTGTGCCCCTTTTGTGGACGTTCAGGATCGGTTTCTGTAAGACAATGTTAATGATCCTGACTTATCGCGTGACACTTGTCTGAACATTAACTTGTTCAGATGTTCACAACATGTTTTGGAATTGATCGGGAAATAATGCACTAGGAAGAATTCAAGTCGCTTTCTGCTCAACAGTATGTACGTCATGAGGGAAGCTCGCTAGATCTATGAAGGAATTGTGCGAGCATATAGTTAGTGGTTCAGTTATGACATACTCAAGTGGTCAATCTCAAGGTTCCATGAGGATTCGGATGAAGCTTCCCCAAGATTTTGGGAAGAGTTACAGTAAGTAGTGTCACTAGCTTCTTCATAATTCTGCCCAAGTCATCGTAACATTCGGTGTTGCCTCGGACCTGCATGGTGTAAGTGCGAGGTCCTCGCATACAATCTCACCACTTCCCTGCAAGTCATCCGTCAATCTCAACCCCAGAACCCAATGGCCTGGCGTCCTAAAGACTGCTGTCCCGCGGTACTCGCATGGCACCCGTCCGCAACTTGCCCATTGCGCAGGCGGAACGTCCCTCCGTACTTGACATTCAGCGACGCGTCCTCGCTAGCCCTCTTGGCCAGACTATCAGTCAACTCCGGGCCGCCCTGTCCCGCGAGGAAGCACGTCTGCCCAGCATCATACAACGGCTGGCCCGTTATGAAGATCTCCGCCCCGGGCGCGGCGTGCTGGCGCGCGTTGGCGATGAGCTTCCTGACCTCGTCGTAGGTGGCGCCGTTCTGCGAGAAGATGCAAATGGGCGTCGACGCTGGGGAGGAGAGCCAGGGCTGGCATTAAGCCGAGGAGGATGTTAGAGATACTGAGCTGCATGGTCGCGGTGGTTGGGAACTTGGCGATATTAATTAGTGTGGAAAATTATCGTCGAGGGTGTGTTGATACCTTGGAGGGAAGAACTGGCCAAAGTCGAGGAATAACGCCTCGTTTTTTGCACTGGTTGTTCTAAAGACTTGACATCTCGAGTTAAGTGCCGTGAGATGCCGTGCTTGGCTTCCGACATCCTTACAGAGAAGTCGGAGCAGCACTTCCGCATGGGGAAGCTTACAAGTAGTTGCCTATTCGTGCTCAAATGTGACGAACAGAGGTTTAATTGCCCTGCGCTATTGCATTTTGTGCTTGATGCAATTTAGAACTGACATAGCCTCCTATTCTGCAACTCAGCCAAAACTCACGAGAAAAGGGGAAGTGCCCGTGAGTTGTTATTCAGCCTGTTGCTATGAGGCCCTCCACTGCTGCGGGTGCTCCGTGCTGTTATGAAGTCATCCAGACAAGCCCGTGTCTGACACAACCAACTTTTCCAAGCGTTAAATCAGCAGCACTTGAAAGGTGGAATCCTATTCGACACCATAACACCATTTCTGCTATTATCTGTCTAAGCGCCATCATACTTACAGATGTCAGTCAGTATTAGGTAGTACGGTGCGTAAATGATACCCTGTAGGCCGGCCATAGAGGTTCTCCTTCCAGTCTATCCTGGCCCTCGCAAATGTCTTCGTCAGAGTCATACGGTAGTCAACAAAATGTCCGGAGGCGGTTACCTACGCGAAAGTATTGCAAAAGTAGGAAGGAAGAAAGGCAGCTTTAGCTTTTTTCTTTTGGTTCTTTTCTTTTTAATAAAAATCTTTCTTTCTTTATTGTTTTTCTAAATTTCTTTCGAAGAAAAAGTCAGCATTTTGGACGGTTACTATACCCATACGATACGCGAAAAGAAAGAGGCGTTTCTAGAACCGAGGAACGAGCTGTCATAGATGTAAGAGCAAAGCCATGGCGTTGTGATTTGGGGCAGGATGACTCTGCTTACATGAACCTTGAGCGGCCTCAGTCGTGACTCACTGGGCCGCGGTAGCACGGTTAAAAGCTGATTCTCATAGTCAGCTTTCCCCCCTTGAGCTCGAAACTGAACACAGAAGTCGATGAAATCGAATCGATTATGTTTGTAATCTAATTGAACATCTTCACAAGCACTGCAAGAAGAAAGTCGTCCTTCCTAGTGTTGATCGCCCCTTCAACTCCACCAAAGCGGTACGTATCTCCACCACAAAACAGGCCTCCCCCAGCGTCCATCCATTCCATTCCGCTTCCCGCAGTTCATCCGGCACCAATGCAAGGCTGAAGACGGGCCTGCGATTGAGTGGAAGACCCTTTCCAAGCACTGCGGGGCAATTTTTATTTTTATTTTTTACTGCCGTCTGCCGCAGCTGCCCGCAGCACCAGCACTGGGAGTTGCCGCCGAACGGACCTGACCTCTGATGCGCCTCCAAAATCCAATCCCGCATCGTCGCCGACCCAAGTCACCTCGCCCAAATCTCACGCTCCCCAACCCGAAAGCCAGCCACCAAGCTGCAGCTGCACCACCCCAAACCGCCCAATGCTTTTCGATCCGTGACCTCGAGCTCATTTTTCGCTTTAGCCTGTTAGTCCATTCGCAAATGTAGCAATTCCACCCAACGAACCTTTCCGACCGCAAACCTCTTTGGCGCATACGACGCCAGCCGACTCTCCCCAAGACGAAAAAAAAAATCTACTAGGAAACAGAGCACCCCACCACGAATCTCCGTTCGACTTCGTCCTCTCGCCAGGAACTCTCTCCGACACCCACGAGCATACCTTCTTCTTCCCGCTTGAAACCGACGCCCTCCAACATACCAGCGATCGCCACACGAATACACATAAAACCCGGCCGTCGCAATGGCTACGACCCCAGCGGCCCCTTCCCCCGCCGCCACGACCTCGAGCACCGACTCCAAGCTCGAGGTCTGGAAGGAGACGCTCTACGACGCCTTCCAGAAGGCCGGCGACGAGAACCACCTCTTCTCACAGTACGACATTCTCGACTTCGAAGTCATCCCCAACCGCGACACCGTCACCCTCCTCAAGGTCCTCCAGAGCCTCACAAATGACCGCCTCCTCATCGCCGTCTCCTCCCAGACGGGCCTCGCCTGGCGATGGCGCTCCATGGAGGATGCAGAGAAGTAAGTCCACCACTCCCCTCCCACCTTGTTGCTTCGCAAGCTAACACCCTCACCCTCCAGGTACAAACTCTGCTCGACCGACGAACAGCGCATGGTCTACGGCGCGATCGACGAGGCAGGCGGCGACGGCATCTGGTCCAAGACAATCCAGCACCGCCTCAACATGCACGACTCCGTCCTCAAGACAGCCCTCAAACAGCTCCAGGGCAAAGGCCTCATCGCCCCCTTCAAGAACGTCGAGCACCCCAACAAGCGCATGTTCATCAAGGCCTCCATGCGCCCCTCGGAGCGCGCCACCGGCGGGCCCTGGTTCACCGACTCCGCCTTCGACGAGGCCTTCATCGAGGACCTGCAGCGCGTCATCTTCGACCAGATCAAGCGCAAGAGCACCTACCTCAGCACCGGCGCCTCCTCCTCCTCCGCCACCCGCACCGCCGTCCCGAAAAAGGGCGTCCTCAAGGGCGGCCTCGAGAACAAGGGCAAGAAGCGCTCCGCCGGCGAAATCTCCGGCGGCGACAGCGACGATAAGACCGCCGCCGCCGCCTCCTCCTCCTCGCCCGCCGTGCAGCAGCCCCCTCCCAAGCGCGAGCCCGCGCTGCTGCCCCTGCCCGCCGGCTTCAAGGAGTACCCCACCGTGCGCGAGATCGCGCGCTTCATCTCGCAGACGGGCATCACCACCGACACGATCCTCGGCGAGGAGGACGTGCAGAAGCTGATCGACGTGCTCGTCTTCGACGGCCTCGTCGAGCCCGTCCGCGTGGCCGGGCGGACGGGCTACCGCGTCTGCAGGGCGCCGCGGCAGAGCCTGCAGGGCTGGGCGGGCCGGCAGGAGGGCGGCGCCGACGAGGGCGGGCCGGAGCCGCGCGTCAACGGGTTCACGGAGGCGCCGTGCGGGCGGTGTCCTGTGTTTGAGCTCTGCGAGGAGGGCGGGCCGGTTAACGCGAGCAATTGCGTGTACTTCCAGCGGTGGTTGGGGTTGGAGTGATCCTCAAGAGTATGGGAGGGGAAAAACTAAGCAAAGAAGGAATGGACGCTTCTATGGGCTGGAGGGGAGCTAGCTAGGCTTTTTGGGACTGATTTCGCATCACGGCAGCATTGCATTGGCGTTGGCACAAAAAGAGGACATACGGGCGGTACGGGTTCAGAGGTAGAATTTTTTAATCCTCCCAAGCGGAATAGTTTTGGCAGTCGGGCTGACTGTGGAATATACCATCCTGTATTTGACATGGTAATTGGGTAATTGGCTCACGCGGTTGGCAAGTCCTTGTATGTGTTGAGGACATTCACGAATCACGGCAGATTTGACGATAGACAGATGGCAGCAACTTTTGTCTTGGCTTGTTAACTATCAGCAGTGATGCTGAACTATGCCAAGACGCGCGACGGCGCATTTTCCCAAGTTTTCACCAAAACCTCCATCTTCCCCTGCTTGTTTTCGCTTCTCTCGAGACTACTAACTGGCAGAGTCGGACCTAAACGTACAAAGCACGAGCGAGGGACAGTTTACAACTGGCCAGAGGCGACGATGGTGGGGCGCTTGCCGTAGCGGACGGTGCCGGAAGAAGAGCCAGTGGCCTCAAGAGCCTTGACGATCTTCAGGGACTGGTCGTCGGCAACCTCGCCGAAGACGACGTGGCGACCGTTGAGCCAAGAGGTGACGACGGTGGTGACGAAGAACTGGGAGCCGTTGCTGGAACACTGTTAGACTAGGTTTGGACGATGAGTGAACGATAAGAAAGCTTACGTGTTGGGGCCGGCGTTGGCCATGGAAAGCAGACCGGGCTTGTCGTGCTTGAGCTGGAAGTTCTCGTCGGCGAACTTCTCGCCGTAGATGGACTTGCCACCGGTGCCCTGGAAAGTGTGAGCTGACTGTCTCGCTTTTGGAGATGGGGAAGGAGACGCACGTTGCCACGGGTGAAGTCACCACCCTGGAGCATGAACTCGGGGATGATGCGGTGGAAAGAAGAGCCCTGGTAGCCGAAGCCCTTCTCACCAGTGCAGAGAGCACGGAAGTTCTCGGCGGTCTTGGGGACAACGTCGTAGAAGAGGTTGAAGGTGACGCGGCCGTTCTGGACTGTTGATGAAGTTGGTCAGCATAGCTCGATTAACAGTAGCGGGGTCGCTGCCGAGGGGTTGGGGAAGCAAAGTTTAGGCTCAAGTGGGGTGATTTGGCGGCGCGGACAGTGCTTTGGATTGAAGCATTGAGATGCCCGCGGCCTCCAGAGCAGAAACGATGATGGTTCATGATGTGATCTGATGGAAGAAGGGAGCTCTTACCCTGGACGTCCTTAGTAGGCTTGTTGGAGGCGTCGAGGATGGGACCCTCCCACTCGATGTCGAAGTAACTGCAGCAGCATTATTAGTATGGCGTCATTGACAGCTTGCGATGCTCGTGTAGAGCATCACAGAGGCATCGTCGAAGGCTTGAGAACTTACACCTGGGGACCAGACATGATGTTGGATGCTGAGAAGAATCTGACGGATGGCTTGGTGGTAGATGCAGACAGAGGAGTTGCACGGAGAGGTTTGATGAGGGTGGAAGGTCGAGAAAAGGGCGAGGGTGAAACGGAGAAGCAGGCGAGGTTATGGCGGGGTAGGAGGGGTCGCAAAAGGGTTGGTCTCATTTTTTCAACAGCTGGTGGAGGGGTTTATTGTTAGCGCAGGAGCTCCCCACTGTGGGTGCCGAAACGGCCAATCAGAGAGCGCAAAAGGGGGGCAAAGAGGGGCGTATCCAGTCACGTGAAGTCAGCTGTTGCTGAGATCACTGGGAGAAGGTACAAGACAGGGGGTACCTGCCAGGCTTCGGCGGTAGGTACCTCCACTTTGTGTGCTTGACGTCGTGGTTGCGACGGGGGGGAAGGCAGGAAGGGACGTGGCGGCGGCGGCGGGGGTGAGGGAGGGAACGGACGGAAAGAAAAGGGAAGGAACGAGGGGCAATTGGGTCGTGACGGGAGTGAGGCGGGACCTCCGTCTGTTTACCGTCTGCTGCGCTTGCACTGGCGGCTGCTGCTCGGGTTGTTTTTCTTCTTCCTCGCTTCTCTTTTGCCTCAGCTTCGAGTCTGGACTCTGGTCTGCTGGGTGGCCGGTGTGCAAGAGCTGGCCGAGCATTGAGGGGAATGACTTCATCAGATCACCACCCCTCACTGCCCCAATTGGCTTAGCTCAGCGAGGAAAACAGAGAGAAGGTGCAGACAGGGAAACTGCCAGAGCTCAACCATTCCCGCAACCCGTCGGCCAGACAGCCAGACGGAGGGGACCGTGATCAATTGCCCAGCAAAAGCCTGGCTGAGGAGCTACATTGAGGCATTGGCCGATGGAATGGCTCTGAGTCTGCAGCCAGACGGCAGGGCGCCCGAGCGAGATACTCGTCCCATCGGCCATGAGCGGATGTACCTGCAACGCGCTGCCAGCAGCTTGGCATCCGGCCCGGTACCTGGATGAACTCTCGCTGGAAGGCCGAGCTCAACAAAGACACAGAGGCAAATACCTCGTCTCGGGCAGAGCTCACCCCGGCGCGGTACAGGTAAAAGCAGACGAATGCACGTCAAAACCCCAAAGGCAACGCCTATTGGAGCGACAGAGGGCAGGGGAGGGGAGAGACAGAGACAGCAAGCTGGGAACTCCACGTCCAGTCGCGGTCGACGGACCAGGTGCTGGGACTCGTTGGCCAAGTCACCGTCCCCCACTGGCCCACGTTGCCCTGGGCACCCTTCAACTTTCGGAACCTCGTGGAATCTTGGGTCTGGGACTGAGAAGCGGGGATGGGGTTGGACACGGTGAGCTGCGGACTGCGGACTGCGCATTCGCATTGTACCTCCAGGTCTGCAGACGGGGTGGATGGCACAGCAGCAACAGTGGTGGACAGACCATGACGAGACAAGACGACGCGATAGGACAGACAAGCCGAGCCGGGAAGAGAGTGAATCGGCATCGACAATGGCAATGAGGAGGCGATTGCACCATTCATCCGTCTCGGCGTCTGTGTCATGTTGCCCGGAGGCCATGCCTCCCTCTCTGTCTGGTCTGCCGCCGCTGCTACTGCTATTGCTGTCACCGCCGGTGTACCTAGCCAGCCGGCCATGCTTGGAGCTATCCAAAATGCCAGCCAGCTTGGGAAGCTCAGGCCGGGGGCCAGATGTGCAAGACGAAGGAGCTGGGGGAGCTGGAGGAAAAGCCACAGATTCGAATCTGACAGTTCAGTCGACTTGCATAAACCGCCCTAGCCGTCTGCGAGTTCCGTGGTGCTCTGATTTTTGTGTGCTTGGGAGCTTTCATGTGCAAATGGGAGCTCATGTGCAAATGGGAGCTTTGAGAAGAAAACGCTGCGAGACGACGAAAAGAACCATTCCACATACCTCAATGAGCAGGACTACACGTTTGGAAAATGGTACAGGTACAGAAGCGGAGAGATAGAGATTGTTGATACACAGGAACCAGAGACGAAGACCTGATGCTGCTGATGGAGAAGAATCTGTCTTTCTACGTGGTGCTCCCGGGGAAAAAAGTTTTGGTGAGGTCAGGGACCGACGGCACGGCACGCCAGCGCGGGCAGCCTGAGGAACGACGACCAACGAGAAGGACGGGTCTCAGCTTGGCAGATGGCGGCCGATGGCGGGCAGCTGGCATATGGCGGCCATTGGGCACGGTCTTAGTCCCAGGTGGCAGCCGCCGTCGCAGCTCGCTGTGGGCACTCGGAGCTCTGCCGGCAGCGGGAAGGAAGCCACGACAGCTCCTGCTGAGCTGGAGACGCGGCAAGAGGCAGCTCTTCCTTCAGCTGTCAGTTCGTGCCCGCCCTGCAACCTACCGCAGCCTTTGAGGCAAGAACTCTGATTCTGCACTGGCTTCTCCTCTTCTTCCTCATCGTCAAATTGAAGGAGCTGAAACCTAATTGAGCAAAAATACGCAATATGTCCTGAGGGCGTCGAGAAACACTGGCTGTTCCGGATCGAGCTGCACCTCAGCCAAACCGCAGCTTTTCCGACGCAACATCCCCGTCGGCCTGACTGGGGGAGAGCTGCTTCCCTCTTCTGCGCGCCTTCCTCAATGCTCTTTCCCTCGGAAATCTGCTTACCTCATCACACGTGATTCCGACCCATCGCCCCTTTCCTTTTCCCTTCTCAGCTTGATTCAATCTCATTGGAAGGACCACTGCCAATTAATCGAGGTACGTACCCCCCTGCCGCCGCGCCGTCCGAGGCCGACCTGAGCCTGAACCTGAAAGTTCCAGGGTGGCCAGGACTGCTTGCAGCCGCGCATCTCGCTTTGAAACGTCGTCACAAAGAACACCAGGGGAAACATCTTGCATTTCGACAGCGCCGTCTGCCAGCTCTCTGTTGCCATCGTCAATCTCCTTATTCGCCGCTGCTACGTCCGCCGCCATGGATTGGAACCAGCTCAAAGACCAGGTCTCCAACCTGACCCTGTACGACGTCAAGGCCGGTGTCCGTAAGGTCCAAAATGGTAAAGACAGCTATCCCGATCGCGATGCCCCCAGAGCTTAGGTGCTGACCGTCCACCAGCTGTAATGAACTACACAGAAATGGAGGCCAAGGTTTGTGGCATCAACCGGACAATGGCAAACGCCATCTGACATGTACAGGTTCGCGAAGCCACCAACAACGAACCTTGGGGCGCATCCTCCAGCATCATGCAGGAGATCGCGAACGGCACCTTCAATTAGTACATCACCACAATTCAACCCACCCAAATACGCGACGCTAACGTCCTCAAGCGCTACCCTCAACGAGATCATGCCCATGATTTACCGCCGATTCACAGAAAAGTCCGCCGAGGAGTGGCGACAAATCTACAAGGCCCTTCAGCTTCTCGAATTCCTCATCAAGCATGGCTCCGAGCGTGTCATTGACGACGCCCGTGGCCACATCACACTGCTCAAGATGCTGCGCCAGTTCCACTTCATCGACCAGAACGGCAAGGACCAGGGAATCAATGTGCGAAACCGCGCCAAGGAGCTGGCCGAGCTCCTGGGCGACGTCGAACGAATCCGATCGGAGCGCAAGAAGGCGCGCGCGACCAAGAACAAGTACACTGGTGTTGAGGGTGGCATGGGTCTCGGTGGAGGTTTCTCGAGCGGCAGCGGCAGTCGATACGGCGGTTTCGGCAGCGAGTCGGGTGGCTACGGCGGATACTCTGGAGGTGTCTACGGCGACGGTGGCGGCTTTGGTGGACAGGAGAGCAACGACTACGGAAGGACACAGGCACACGGCGACAAGTTTGAGGAGTACGATGAGTTTGACGACCCTGCCGACAGGCCAGCAGCCAGCTCCTCGGCGTCTCGGTCCAAGAGACCCGAGCGTGCGGCCGCATCCAAGGCCGAGCCCCCCAAGAAGAAGGAGCCGGAAGTTGACCTCTTCTCCTTTGACGACCCGGCGCCATCCTCCATGCCGGCCCCCGTTGCGCCGACAGCTTCCAATGGCTCCGGCTTGGCTTCTTTGTCCGCAGCTCCCGCCGCCGCTAACGACGACGACGAGTTCGACGATTTCCAGTCCGCCACCCCTGCCCCTGCTGCCGCCTCAGCTACACCTCTGTCCCCTCCCGTCATGACCGCTACCTCTGCCACTACCTTTGCCGCCCCTCAGCCTGTATCTGCGCCGCAGCAGGCCAACATTGGCAACATGGTCAGCATGTCGTCCATGTCTCCAGCCCCGAGCGGCGCCAACTACTCTGCCTTCAGCACTCCCGCTGTGGCGTCGCCTGCGGCTCAGGCCCCCAAGCCCTCTGGCTACCAGCCCTCAGGGCCCAACTACTTTGGCTCTGTCCAGTCCGGAGCTGTCGGCCAAAACACGGGAGGCTCGTTTGGCGCCGCTTCCCCCATGGCTGCGTCGAAGCCTGCGTCGACTCCTGCTGCCAAGCCCGCAGCTGCTGGAGGCGATGCTTTTGGTGCCCTCTGGTCTCAGGCTAGTGTTGGTGTAAAGAAGACGAGCACTCCCACCGCTGGCCCTGCCATGGGACAGCTCGCCAAGGAGAAGAGCAGTGCTGGTATCTGGGGAGCCCCCGCGGCAGCATCCTCTACTCCCAAGCCTGCTGCCGGGTCTTCCTCTGGCGGCAACCACGGCCTGGACGACTTGCTTGGTTAAGCAAACATAATGACGAAGACGGGGAGAAAAGTCTTTTCGCGGCACCTGGCCTGTTGTTGAAGAAGAAGAGAGGCCGCCAGGTGAGGTGAAGAAGGCAACATGCTGGTAGGCTGCTAGACAGGGCGTACTGGCGCGCAAAAGACTGCAACATATGAACATCTAACTGAATTTCAAAGCGAATCACTACCGATCCATTCGTCTCCTGAATTTTCACATTGTGACATCACCGGGCAGGAAAGCAGCCCACGTCTAACGCGTCTAGAGACTCATGCGCTTGTTGACTCGGGCATTACAATTACAGGACCTCACAGCCTCTGCGGCCGACAAGCAGCCTCATGCGCCCACACTCCGATGCAGGTGGGGAGACGATCGAACCAAGTCCAGACCACCAACACGTTCATCCATGAGCCTTTCAATGCAAGCTCCCAACATAGACCAAGCCGATCAAAGCAACGCGTTGCCTTCTCGGAGCCAATGGCTGGCTTCCCGGGCATGAGGCTCTACGACGGACACCACCTTCCATCTAATCTTGGCTGCATACATCAGTCCCAACGGCCCAGGAACGAGGCCTTCTGAATGAACCATTCCCCAGCTAAGACATGCGGCCGGGCCGCCAGCCGCCAGGCCGTTTCAGGTGTTGACATGTTGCATCCGCGATGGGCTGTATGAACAGGCGCCTCAGCCTCCAGCCCGTGGTCCCACAGCGGCCTCGATGACGGCCCTTTATCTTTGCAGAGCCGGGCAGAGAGGCAGGTTCGAAGATCATGACTCCACCGAAAGTCAAAGCTAGGTCGAGGCCATAGTCTCCGGGTGCAAGCAGACCCAATCAACCCCGGCTGCCTGGCTGCAGTGGTCGAAACAGACGCGGTGGTGGTGTGGCCCATGGCTGGCTCGACGTGCCATTGGACGCGCCTATTACCTCTCCACCAGGGCGACCCGTTATCATTCCTTATTTTTGCTCGGACGCCAAGACATCCATAGATTTGGCGTCATGGATTGAAATTTCAAGGTCGGTTAGGCAATGTAGGTGGCCGTCGTAACCGCGTCGCTTGTCCAACCTTCTTAGTTCTCTCCACCGCTAAGCGCCGCACCGCACCCCCGGTCCGGACATCTCATTGGTCCACCCCGGCGGCTCATCATACCTAGCCGAACTGCACTTCGTCCTCCGCAGGGCACCGCAGGGTCGTCTGTGGTCCGGTCCAAGGTCCCCGTCTATTCTGCGTATGCAGGTACCGTACGGCACGGGTCTGGGACCCATCTCTTGGAGTCAAGAGAGGCTAGAACGCGTCTGCTGGAATTAGCAACGCCGGCCTGTTGGGGAACGAACAACAATGCATGCACCAACACACCACCGCATCAACAAGCCGGGCTGGGGAGTCTGGGCCTGAGGTCTTGAGTGATCGAGTGTCGATGTCCAAGATGTATAAAGCAGACTGATGCCATCCGGAGTCAAACAGTCCTCTCTCTCCTCTCATCATCAGCATCAAACAATCATCACAGAACAAGGTCTTCTTTCTTTTTCCTTTTTCTCTCCTCTTTTTCCTTGACTCTCTTTCCTAGGTCAATTTCCTATCTCTGGGTCTCTCGGTTTCAATTCGGATTTTCCTTCGACACTTAGCAGCCATCTTTCATTCACGAAGAACGAATCGAAACGAAGCAAAGACTCAAACACAACAGCCAACGACTCTCTTTTCGTCAAGACGCCAAAAACGCACCTCACGAAAACCATCTCAGTCATTTCAGACACGTCTCTTCACTTTTCTTAACACATTAACAACATAAGTCGCAACACAACGCGACTTTCACCAACCACCTTCAAAATTACCTCCTCAACCCCCTCCGCCTGCATCCCCTTCCCGCCGCGCCGCTTCCCGACCCGCACGGCCCTCCACCAACGCCCGAAGCTCTCCCTCGTCACCCCCGCCTCCCTCCGCAAGATGCCTTCGGCCCCGCAGCTCGGCGCCCTCGGGCACACCTTCACCGCCATGCGCGCGATGCAGTTCGCCAGCCTGATCGCCATCATCGGCATGACGAGCAACTTCATCTCCGAGATCAACGCCGCTGACGCCTCGAGCCCGAGCGTCTTGATCGGGACTCTGGTAGTTGTAAGTCCTCCTGCTCCCCCCATGGCTCTCCGCCCACTAACACCGCCACTAAAAGTCCTGCATCGCAACCCTCTACATCGTAATCTCCTACATCCTCTACTACGACTCCCTCCTCCCGCTCCTCCTCGCCACGGCCCTCGACTCCATGCTCCTCGTCGCCGTCATCGTCGTCGCCTGCACCCTCGGCAAGCCCCTCTCCTACCTCAACTGCGCCGCCCTCCCCTCCTCCGGCAGCACCGCCACCTTCATGACCTCCGTCATCGCCAACTCCGCCTCCTCCACCCTCAACTACTTCATCTGGGTCGGCGCCGACCAGCGCACCTGCTACGCCGTCAAGGCCGTCTGGGGCCTCTCCATCGCGCTGTGCGTGCTCTTCGCCTTCTCCGCCATCACCGCCGTCTGCCTCTGGCGCCGCCTCAAGGTCGTTTCCGTCCCGAAAGACATTGAGAACTGAAGGTGCGGCCGTGAGGGGCGCGGCTGCTACGATGCCGCCGCTGCGCCTGTCTACTTCCCCCCGCCCCCGGTCAGGGAGGTGCGCGGGGGAGGGGGCAGGACGGCGACGGCATTGGGGACCGCGGCGCTGGGGAAGAAGACCCGTGGTGTGTATGACGACTACTCCTCTTCGGACTCCGACTCGGAGCACCAGAGGGAGTTCGTCAAGCCGCTGGGGTCGTTTGCCCAGAGGCCGTCGTTCCCGCCGCCTCCCACGGCGCCGGTTCGGAAGGTGAAGATTGTCGAGGGACGGGTGGCGGTGCAGCCGTTGCCTGTGCTGCCCGAGACCGTCTCGCCTGTTGCTGCTGCTCCTTCTCCCAAGGAGAGGGGTTTCCGGGGATTGTTGTCTCCGGTATCTACTAAGGACAAGGGGGGCTTGGGCTTGTTGTCGCCGGTGTCGCCCAAGGACAAGGGGGGTTTGCTCTCGCCTACCACTCCGAAGTCGCCTTTGGAAAGAGCCAAGTCGAAGAGGCGGACGATTATGCATTTTATTGACGGGTGGTGGGATCTGGGGCTCTTGGAGCAGGAGAGGAAGAAGAGTCTTATGAGGGCTGCTTCTAGGAAGGCTTGATTGAACAAACACAAAAATTGGGACTGGGATAATTCAGATTGTTTTGGGGGCATTGGGAACACTTGGGAAATGGGTAATGTCTACTGCGTAGATAGATTTGGTTCGGCACATTTTTGTGATGGCGTTCAGGCACATGCGGGATTGACGCCCGCCATTTAATAAAAATGAAAAATAACCCCGGGAAAAAGAGCTTCTTGTTTTATGCAAAGTGCTGCGGTTGAAACTAATCATGGAAAAAGCCGAGCAAACGGCTGCCTTCACGGCACCGATGCTGAAATCCAAAACGCCAGGAAGTGAAAGACATGTACATTTGGTATCCTCGTAACATCTTTTTGTTCAAAAACCACATTAAACATCAAACGCCAGGTCAGACAAGACTGTAAACTCATGTCAACAGCACAGGGTGTCCGAGGACCTTGAAACACGCCGCCAGATCCCACGTCTCGTCGATGTTGTCCCGCCCCGCCCACACGTTCTCCATCACCCCCAGCGCGGCGCGGATGCTCCCAAACACCTCCAGCGCGCCCATCTTGCCGACCATCTCGCGGAACATGTGCTCCTGCGCGGGCGTCGCGAGGCAGCCGATCACGCAAAAGGGCCAGACGACGGTGCGCAGGCACACGGGGGAGTGCAGCGAGTCGAGCAGCTCGATGGTGGCGGTGACGCTGGTGGCGGTCTCGGGGCAGGAGGGTTGCCAGCCGGAGACGACGGTGGAGAGGTACGTCAGCGCGGCGTAGGCCCAGATCTTGGTGTGGATGAGGGCGGCGGAGCGGGTGTCGCGGACCTGCTCGCTCTGGTAGAGGGTCAGCGGGTCGGGCGGGAGGCGGGTGGTGTCGGCGTGGGTGGGGTGCGGCGGCGGGCGGTTGGCGTCGGTGAGGGCGCAGGAGCCGGCGGCGCAGGCGAGCTCGGAGGAGCCGAGGAGCTGCGGGCACTGGTTGTCCATGCAGGCGATGCCTTCACGCAGGGCGAGCTCGAGGCAGCCGGCGCGGGAGACGAGGTGGGTCATGGAGAGGGAGCCGGCGCGGCGGGTTTCCTTCTTCCAGGCGTCGAGGGCGGCGATCTCGCCGATGAGCTGGAGGACCCAGGACTGGCAGCCGAAGTACTCCTCGAGGCGCAGGCGAGGCTCCTGCTCGAGGCAGGTGGCGGACTCCTTGCGCGGGGAGAGGAGGTAGGCGTGGTAGCCCTGGAGACGCGGCGGGCGCTCGAGGGCGGTGGCGGAGATGATGTCGAAGTAGAGGAGGGACGCCGTGAAAAAGCGGAGGGCGGCCTGGTCGGAGGACCAGGGCTTGTGGGAGCCCGGGGGGAAGTTGACGCCCTGGAGGAGGGGGATGGCCATCTGCTGCATGGTGGCGTCCCAGGCGTCGGTGGTGGGGAGGATCTGGGTGAAGACGATGGTGGCGGCGTCGAGGTGCATCTGCCAGTGGTCGTTGGAGGCGAGGGTGACGTCGAAGACGAGGAGCTGGACGATGGACTCGAGGACGCGGCAGGACTGCTGCAGCTGGGTGGAGGGGTCGCCGGCCTCGTTGATGAGGGCCATGTCGGCGCGGAGCTCCTTGAGGGCGAGGTCGAGCTGGTGCTGGAGGGAGGCGACGGAGCGGATGCGGCAGGGGGTGTGCTCGACCTGGGCGCCGTTGAGGACGACGCCGAAGAAGTGGGAGGAGAGGGAGAGGGCGGTGTGGTAGAGGGCCTTGTTGTGGTTGAGGACGTTGAGGAGCCAACCGCGGCCGCCCTCGAGGAGGGCGGGCTTGTAGAAGGGGAAGAGGAAGGGGAAGACGTAGTCGAGGTAGATCATGATGAAGCCGAGGTTGGCGTCGTCGGGGAAGGGGGTTGTGGGGTTGAGGTCCGGGGCGAGGACCGGTGCCGGTGAGTGAGTCGGTTGTGAGTGTGGTGCGGCGGCGGCAGCCGGCGGGCTGGAGTGGGTGGATGCGTTCCAGTCCGGGGTGTGTTGCCGGGCGTGGTTCGGAGATGCGCCGGGAGCGATCTCGGAGATTGAGGATTTCACGGTTTCCATGTGATACGGGCTGGAGGCGTCGCCGGGGGTGTCGTGGACGGTCGACGGCGAGGTTGAGTTTGTCTCTTTTGATGAGCCCCCGTCGGCGCTGAGGGCCGGGACAGGGGGGATGAGGTCGGGGTCCGAGTCGTCATGACGGTGCTGGTGACCAGCCCCCGCGTCGACGTCGAGGGACTGCAGGTACTTGCGCTCGCGGCGGTTGTTGGCCTGGACCTTGACCTGCTTCTTGAGGTGGTCGGCCATCTCCTTCTGGCGCTCGCCGCCGTCCATCCAGTCGGGCTTCGTCTCCGAGTAGTGGCAGGTGATCTCCAGCTGCGCGCAGCCCTCGCACACGGGGCGGGCCTCGTCGCACTTCTTGCGGCGCAGGCGACATGTCCAGCAGCCCTCGGAGGAGCGGATCTTGGCGGAGGAAGACATGCTGTTCTTGAAGCGCGACCGGAGGCCGGTGAGCGACGACATGTGGGAGGGGTCCTTGTTGCGGGAGAACATGACGGGCAGCGGTTCGTCGTCGTCGTTCTGATGGTTAAATGAGGTGGTGTGGATATGTCATCGATGAGAGAGACGAAAGTGAGTGAGACGAGGCGTCGCTGTGAGAACCAGCGTCTCTCCGGGCACTGTAAGGTCCCAAATCAGGTGCGTATGGTTGGTCAGGTTGTCGTCAACAACGTCGTCGGACCATGCGGCGGCGGTGGCGGCAGCGTAGGCGCGGCTTGACGGCTGGAAGGGGTTCAGGTCAGCAACTCTGCAGTCCTCAGTTAGGTTCCGCGGCAGTGCAGTCGAGATTGAGCAGCAGCAGCAGCAGGGGCGCATCAAAAGTGCAAACCAACGTGCGGATTTGTAATCCACTAAAAAGCGGCGCCGGCATGTTCCATTCAGCCTTGGCGGGTGGTGGTGTCGCTGGCGTGTGGTTGAAAAATTTAAGGTGAAGGACGGAGGGCGGCCAGGGATGACATGAGATGATACGTACCCCACTTTCCTGCCGCGATCCTTTTGAGCAATTCAGCGACGCCTGCCCCCTTTTTCCTGCTGCTTTACTGAGGTAATACTGGCTGTGCCTCGATAAGCGACGCGGCAAATCGGCAGGTTTGAGTTTAACATTGATGATCGCCCGTTTCCCACACGTCGTTTGATCCTGAGAATCCTGAGAGGGGATGCGCGGTGATCTAAATATGATTTCCGGTCCTTCATATTGAAACCATGCTCATAGCATTTCTTAAAGGCCACGAGTGACAGCTTGTCAAACGGTTTCACACTAAGAGTTGTTTACATGAGATGAGAGTGAAGCTGTCAACACACATGAGCCAGCCCATGATTGAGAGCCCGCCCAGAAGACCCCCGCATCCCTGCCACGCTCATGAGACGCGACGCGTAGGCTCCCACTTCATTCATGCTCTGCAGCTGAATGGCGCGGCGTTTCATGAAGCTTTTTTCTCACTCTCTCATTCGGTGAACCCGACAGCCTTATCAGATCTGCTGCTCTTGGTACCTGACTTGACACCTTCTTTCAGCCCTGTTGCTGCAGGGGGCCCCCGACGGGAGCGGTGCTTAAATAAGCCTATTCGAGAGATGGCATCAAGCTGAGCGTTTCTTGTTCTAGGTGACGTCGCAGCTCACTTGAAGGTGTTGATATGCGACCTTTTTGGGAGGGTTCGCATCACCGGATGGTAGCTGTCGCTTCAACGGTAGGCTCGCTGTGCCTGTTCGCCTAGATCCCCGATTGGCTGATAGAGCCTTCGTGAACTCAAAATGCTTGTCAGATTGAGGCCATAACTGATTACCTCACGTGAAGGTGGCTCAAGTGGGACGCGAACACGTAGACGGAACCTGCAGGCGGCACATGCAGGCAATTCCGTAGAATGTTGGCGAGCTGCAAGCCACGGGCCAATAACCTCACGATAAATGCACCCAACTGCAAGACACTCAGCATACCTCAACTGAACGGGATAAGAGTGAGTAACGTTGCATATGAGAAGGAGAAAAGAGGGAAGAGGCAACGAAGTGGAAGTCGGCAATGGGGGGATGAGAAAGGGGCGTAGAGAGGGCACCTATGAGCTCTCACGGCTGTCCGTCCTGCCATCCCTCCCCGCTTTCTCGACATTGTCGCTCCAATTTCGAGCCGAGCTCAATCTTGGGGATACAGTTGCTTATTTTCTGTAGTCACCTGAGGTGGTGTTCGCAGATGTGCGAGTTGAAGCACAAAAGAACACATATCAGGCATTCTGCATCACCTCCTCACCTCTGCTTCACTGAGATCATTCCTTAGAACGCACCTTAGCATCAGACATCCCATCGATCATAGTTGGATTGCAGTACAAGGCGCGAGAGCTTCGACATGACCAGAGACTCGTCGCTGTTTTCTCATAGGTAAAAAGTTTTGTAGTTCAGCGAAGTTAGGGAAAGTTTCAACAAAATCGCTTAGCCTAGGCACTACAGCTCCTTCCCGCGCGCATTCAGTGGGATAAAACTTGGTAATCTATGACACAACCGACACACAAGACCTCCATTTGTAAGCATCTGTGGATGATATGTGGATGATAGATCATAGCAGGACACTGGGCGATGTATGTCATTGAGTTTGTAGTTACGACGCAGCCCCCCCGGCAAAAAGACTACGGCAAAATTCACCCCATACGCGGGCACAATTCTGGAAACACTATATGGGCACTTTGACCTGTGCCCTCTACCGGTTAAGGAAAACAGTGCAGAAACCCTATACGTTCCTGCTAGCAGGCAAACCCTCTGAACATCACCGCACAAAGTCGAACGCGCGCCCTGGCAGAATAGACCGGCGGAACAGCGATGTATGTCATATCACTTGGTAGCTATGAAAGTTCGTGTATCAATCAACAAGCAGTGCCCAGATCATTATCCCAAATTCCTCCCAAGTCGTAGCATTACCTACCCACAAGTAAGAACGCCTTTTCGCTTCACATTCATGCCGCTGCGAACAATAACTCTGAAGGGTTGCTGACCATCCACGAAACTTCCTCTCAGCCTGCCAAAAACATTCTGCTTTTCGATCTCTTCGGACGGCCTTTGGTCAACTTCGACATCCCAGGCTCTCCAGCCGTTCTGGTGGGGAAATTCCCACCGGAGAACGATAGGTGGGCTCAAATGACATGGCAGGTTGAAAGGCCCATCCCCTGCTTCCTCGCCAACATTGTCATCTCCCGGAGCAGGAAGGACTGGCCCGAGAGCGAGATATAAGCGGTCCGAGCCGTCTGTCTTGGGCCGGTACTTCAAGCAAGGACTCCTTTCCGGAGTGGAAGTCGGAAAGTAAATCTGCTCACGCATGATGAATATTCCATTACCGCCATCCTCGTCTTCGACAACATTGTTTGACAGCTCAGTGTCGCTGCCGCTATTTCGGAGATGAATCTTGAGGACTTTCGGGTCGCAGGTGAGCGGTGGCAGGGCGAGAACAACATGATCATCGGTCCAGCTGCTAAGCGCTAGAGGGGGGGCCAACTGATACAGCGAGTCTTGAATAATGAAAGTGCAGCTTTGAGTATTCAGTGGCTGGAGTCCGTCGGTCTGGTTGAGTGTGAATCTGAACGTCTGCAGCTTGACAATACACCGAGTGCAGTGCCCAAGATCGAAGAACAGGAGTAGAGCGAGATGCAAGTATTCGCCACAAGGAGAAAAATGGAGTTCTACAGAAGCGTTAGCCAAGTGGCGAGCCAGAGGGCTTGTGTGAGCCCGGAGCATTACCTCTAGATTGGGCAGATAGAGTCTCTGAACGAGCTGGAGTATCCGCAATTTCAGAAACCAGGGGGAAGGTTGTCTCCCGTCTATCACCTGTGTCGACATCTACGAGTAGTAATTGCGTTGAAGAATGCGTTAGGGCAATAACCGGCGATTTTGGGTGCATGGCGGGAACGACATTGTCCCAGTACGAGATTCCAACCCAGCTGAGGAAAATTGGCGGCCTTTTAGAATAGATGAATGCCAAGCACTTCGTGTGTTCCTCTGGAACGACGTAACCACCGTGTTCCATTTGATGGTTATCAGATGCCGACTGTTCCTCGTCGGAAATGGAACTCGCGGCTGACGACACAGAACTGTCGTCGCTGCTTTCAGAATCATCTTCCTTCTTGGAATCATCAGGCGAGATGCAAACCGCTCGATCGAGACGAAGCATGTGAACGGAAGTGTCTGAACTCCTAGAAATGGTGCTTGTATCAACGAGATCCCATCTGGTTTTGGGTTGACGCTGTGTTCGTCGGGCCCGCAACGTTGAAGGCCCTGATGTTGTCTCAGATTGGGCCTTCAGAAGTCTTCCCAGTTGCAAGGATTCCGAGTTCATGTACCATGTCTCCAAACCCTCCTGATTTGGGTTGCATAAAACGAAGTAAGTGAAGAGGTTGTCACTCTCTGTGACAGGAACCTCATAATTTTTGGACTTCGTTTCTTTCGCATTTTGTCGAAAGATTGGCACGTGCACCTGTCGAAGGACGTTTTTGGGGTCACCTCGACGGCGGACAAGCAGATCGGCCGAGGCTTTCTTCCCAATGTGGAGGTCGAAGGCAAACATGCTCACAATGCATCCTAACGAGGGAAGCTCTTCCAAGTTGGCGACCTGTACCTGTAACTGACCTAAAGTGTTGGCTTCTGGAGGTGGGGTCAAGTAACAGGACTTTCCCTCTGGGAAGGACCTCAGTGGATAGCAGTACTTCAAACCCGCTGGACAGGTCACGAGAACCTCCCTCCATTCCCTAACGAAACACCAGAAGGATTGATCCAGTTCTTTCGACGGTCCGTCAAGCCATCCAGGCAACGGAACACCGAATTGGTCGCCGCTAATGTATGTGTGCCCTCTAATGTCCATTTGGTAGGAACCGGTCTCGCCGTGAGCGTAGAAACCGAAAAGAAAAGGGGCTATTCGGCTCTGAACAGACAGGCAAGTCCAGAACGCTTTGCTCTTGAGAAAGCGTTCAACGCGTTGGCGGACTGCTGCATCCGGCTGGATAGAAAACAGGTGCTGAAACCAGAAGGTCGACGCATACCGAAGAAACGAGTGCTCGTTGGATTTGCTCTCCAGCAGATTATCGATATCTTGGCATTGCTCGTATCGATCGTACATGAGATATCTCAAGCAATCCACGCCAAGTTCGGTATTGGCTGCATCGCTGTCGTGAACGAAAAACATGCGAATGTGTTCGCTAATGCTTCGATCCGCTTTCGGGTCCTGTTGGAAATAGTCTTGAACAGACTTGTGGGAAAACTTGACGACAGGGTCGCATTTCACAAGTGGCCCACACAGGTCGACAATGAGCTCTTGCACTTTGTGTCTGGTGTAACAAGTCCCCTCTGGACCAATGGACAGCGCATCAACGACCTCGTCTAAAGTGAGAGACTGCTGCGATGTAACCAAAAGCAAAAAGAGACGACTATCAAAAACAGTCAGTAAGAGTGAGTAGCTAGCTATGCTTTAGCATGAAGAAAGGGTACTGACCGAGCGAATTTCCGCTTCCAGTCGCCGTGTTCGGCGATTTTCTCCAGGGAGCGGTTGAAGTATCCGTTCAAGGGTGAAGGAAATTTTTGGAGCTCCTTGATAATCCCCGCAAGACATTGCCCGCTATTGAATGTGTGGCACAAGAAGGTGGCGTACAAGAAGCTATCATCTGTTCCTGGATCTTGCAAATGATATTGATGAATGCTGTCGTTGAGATACGACCGTATGTCTCTGGCAATGATTGCTTGATCAGCCTCGATCTCTACTGCGTTGACTTGTTCCATGGCCCGACGAATTCTGGAATGTCCCTTGCGGCTGGTAAATAGCCACCTGTCGCTGCCATATGATGCTCGTTTGACCATATCCACCAGATCTTCTAACATATCGTGTCTGGGCTTTCCGGGTTGTTCATTGCATGGCAAGTCCATGTCGATGCACTCGTCAAGTCCGTCAACCACCACGAAAACTTCGTGTGCCTTGACTAATTCGTGGACAAGCCGTGTAGCGATGTTAACTTTGGCGAGGGTCTGCGTGTAGTTCCTCTCATCCAGACAGAGATCCACAAAGCGGTCAGTAAGCTTCGGTGATAGAATGTTCATCAGCTGGATTATCAGGGATCTGAAGGCGTGAATTGTGTGTTTTCGCAGGTCTTCATTGAAGGAGAAGAAGAAATATGCGACCTTTTCTCCTCTCTGTTCAAGGTGGCTGATGATGGCTGAAGTCAAAACGCTTTTGCCTGAGCCTGCCTCAGCATTGTACCACAGAACGGACTTCTTCTTCGAATCTCGCCACTTGATGAAACGGGCGTCCTCAAAAATCCATTCGCAGGTGCCCGGGTGCCGAGCACGTAATCGATCATCCAAATCAGGCCGGGCATCGATCTGATCAGCCTGCCCTCCTTGTATCCACTGGCGAATACCATCCTTTTGCTGTTGCTCTCTGTTCTGCTGCGATCGAAAGATGTGGTGTGCCGCCGCGAGCTTGTGAATGGCATTGCTGTCTTTCTCAAGGGCTGCCTTGGTCTGCGTCATCTCTTCACCTAGTGAGGCGAAGGGATCCATCATTTTCAGTGATGTCTTGAGGAGTCGCTTGGACGCTTTGTACCAGAAGTTGATTATTCTCTTGTAGGAGCCGGCTAGTCGTTTTTGGAGCTCTTGAGAGTCGTGGAATGTCTTCCCATACATCTCATAGACGATGAAATAGTCGGCAATATCGGCGAGGGCATCCACGAGGTCCTCAAAGTACTCGTGAAACCCAATTGCCAACTCAAGAACGATTCGAGTACCCGAGAAAATGACGCCAGTTCCCATGGGACCAGCTTGGCCTAAAGGTTCCAAGACCTTAGAGACACGCTCGAATCTTTGCAAGAAGGGCGCCATCTTCAACATTAGACGATCACCGCGCTTCTTCTTGCGTTTTCTCTCTAGAGTCTCTAAACAGGCTGTGAGACTTTGCATAGACTCCTGCACGTAGGATGTGCCGTCGAGGGCCGATGAGGCTGACTGATTCGACAGGTCGACGGCAGCGAGCTCTTTCAAGAACGGATTCTCGGGATCGTCCTTGTGCATCTCCGGTAGACTGCCGAAGAACTCCCTAATGGCTCTGCCGAATGCAGTTTCTGGAGAATCATTGTGTGTCGCGATCTCTTCAACGGAATGGACGTCAACAACTACGTTCCTTTTCAAGTCTTCCATGGTAATGATGTCTCTGATACGCGTGCTTCGAGACGAAAGGCGCCATCAATAAGATGATGCGGCGAAAAAGGAGGACAGGATCTTCTGCCACAGATTCATGAGAGAAAGCGCAGCCGAGAACCATTTGTTTGGAAGTGGTAGGCAAGCGGAAAACGAATGATATCAGAGGCGGTCGGGGCGGGACAACGAAGGAGACTCAAGGTTCGCGAGAACTGCACATTGGTGGCCTCGTTTTTTTGTTTGGACCGACTTTGACGCATGTCAGCTGCATGAAACGTTGTAAGGAATGTAGGCAGGGAGGAAACAGTTGTCATTGTCACATTAAGGCCCAATTAGCAGGTCATGGCGTTTCCAAATCTGTATTCGGTGTCGCCTGCACTGCCAGCATGCGATATGTCGGCTCTGTGACACCCACAACAACGAATCATTGGAGGAAGAAAACGATGATTGCAGCCTCATCAAACACACCATCTCGAGCAACGCAAATCAAAAACAAGGACAGCTACAGCCAAGTCTTATGCGGGGCTTCAAATCAGGCCACTCGACTGTTTTTGCTACTAATGGAATTGTGCAGAGACTTCGATGCGTCTCGATGTAATAAGAGAAAATCAGGCTGAGAGAACAGTCATCGGGGGCTGATGGATTGGAAAGTAGAGAGGAAGAGAATACATAACAATGGAAGGATACGAAGTGTGCGTTTTCTCTAGACCAGAGCCCTTATCCCTCACAAAACAGCATGGCGTCACCGGCAAGTGGTGTCGGCTCCAAGCCACAATTCAAGACCTATCATGCCGTCCACAAAAAAGGCGGCAAAGTAACGACTGAAACACTTACTGATCCGTTTGGACTTCCTGCTAACGAGCAAGAAACCGGCAAGGACTCTTCCTATGCTCTAGTCATCAATCGAAAATTCGACAAGGACAACTCTCAACAGCCCAAGAGTGTGACGCTGAAGGTGAACTCACCTCATCTCCTCCAGGCCTTTCGCGATGTCGTCGGTTCAAAGTACCCCACAGTTGCTTCGGACTTCACGTCGCCATTCGAATTGCAGAGCCCGTTTCAGATGCTGGTGCATTACTGGGACGAACTGGAAGCATATCGGGAAGAGACGGACAGCTCTGAAATGCGTATTCACTTAGGCATGCTTCTTCAATTCATGGATCACGAACTGGGTGAAGATCGTAAGACGCTGATGGACATGCTGAAAACGAAGCAGGTGACTTTCCTCACTGCATGGACTCTTTTCCGACCAGGAAGCCTCATGTACACCAAGTTGCTGGAGTTCCCATGGATACTCGTGTGCCACAAGACTGCCTATGAGCAGAATTCGTCGGCTGGCCCATATCTAGAGGTTCACTGCACTTACACAGACTACAACGGCACTATTTTTGGCGAGACTACGCGCGAGATTATTATCTTTCAGAAGCAGCAATTCGGGGGTGATAGCCCGGCGTTCATAACCGACCTTCCGATCTATCCCCGGAAATATGTGTATGATGAAAGTCTTGATGCCCGACTCGAAGAGAGAGGCAGAAAGTTTCTTCAGCACAGAGAAATGTCAGTGAGAGCGTATGATGGCATTGCTCAGTACTTGAAAGTGCCCCCTTACTCCTTTTTTTCAGTTGACATGGATCGCTACCCGGGTCTTTGGCTTCCATACACTGTGAGTGACAACTGGACTATTTAAACATCAGCATCTCAGCCCGCTAATACGGCGATACATAGGAGTCTGGGAGGGTCGTAGTCGACAGGAAGACCTTCCACCATGATCATTACAACAGTTCGGTATCTATCAAGAAAGTTGATCACCCCGATCCACTGACATGCCCACCTTTTGTTTTCGGATTCTCTCTCAGCCGAAAAGTCTGGTGCCACTTGTTTCTCGACCATCTCAACCCGATCAACTGGGTAGACAACGCCTGGAACTCGTTGATTTTGGAAGAGGATCAGAAATTAGTCATCCGAGCACTGGTCGACTCACATGCCTATCCTGACAATCCGCGAAATCAGCCTGAGCAGAAGGGAAAAGGATTGGTTTTGCTACTTCACGGGACTCCTGGTACTGGCAAGACATTGACTGCAGAGCTAGCGGCGGAAGCGAAGCAAACAGCGCTCCTGCCAGCTTCGTTGGGAGAGTTGAACAAAGAGGAAAAGTAGGATCTTGTGCCATTTTGGTTGAAGGCGCTAATACTGATGGATATTCTTCCAGCGCAATGATGTTCGAGCGGGAGCTTCAGCGGCTGATGCAGTACGCCACAGTTTGGAAGGCTGTTTTGCTGCTCGATGAAGCCGATATCTTTCTTGAGAAACGGGAAGACAGCCCTGCCAACGCGAATCGCAATGCTCTTGTCGCGGTCTTTCTGAAGCAGTTGGAGTACTTCTCGGGCGTCGTCTTTCTAACGACAAATCGACTCCGCACGTTCGATGCAGCCATGAGCTCGCGCATTCACTTGGCGCTTGGGTACAAGGCGCCAGACGCCGAGACGCGCCGACTTATGTGGTTGCAGTGCCTCCGGAAAGTCCCGACAAATGAGATCGAGTTCGATGACATGGACGATGCCTCCGAGAACTTTGTATCTTACCGCATCAATGGGCGCGAGATTTCCAACTCTGTCAACACTGCTCGAACCATAGCAAGATTCGAGGGGAAGAAGTTGCAGGTCAAGCACATTAACCAAGTCCTGGTGCTCAGGTCTAGCTTTCAAAGAGCGTTGCAGGCTGAAGGAACCAAGTTGACTGTGCAATCCGAGAGTATGAATGCATTGAAAAGGACGGGGTCAATTGTGGATGAGCCGGATGAATACGCGTCGTGAATCACGTAGCTACAAGTACGATCTTTCGTAGACACTGAATGTTGAGCTTTCACTACTCTAAGCTCCTAATCAGAAGTGGTATTGGTGAAGTAGATATACATACGCTAACTCAATTTGTTTCTTTAGCCCTATTTCTACAGGCAATCCCTCCCTTGTTGAATCCTTAACTTGTTTAAAGACAGCTGATAGGAGGAATTTCTTGAACAAGCGACGTCTCAAGCTAAGTGGCGATTTAAATGCGGGGCAGCTTGTACAACTTCTCAAATCTGACTTCTGTGGAGAGCTGGCATAAAAGAACTATGGCACTTTATGTGTCTTCGGTTCCTCGAGCTGATCACGTAATGAACTGGTACTCGATGCAAAGGAAGCTTAGGCCAGAGCCATCACTACACATTGATGCTCATTAGTGGAAGAATGTGTAAACCACACAAAGCCCTTGGTTTGCCTTAGGTTTAGCGTATGATTATGTGCTCATGTTCATTTGCTGCATGCAAAAATATCTCGGATGCACAGGCACCCACTAGGTGGAAGACTTTAGACTGACTTCCCACGGGTCTGACGACGAAGGGTTGTTTGCCCATACTGAAACCATCCATTCCAAACACTTGGTCTCAAATCCTCGCCGATTTCGGCGCCAGTCCAAGCAGTCCTGTTTCCGTGACGTAGAACCTTCGACTGTGGCATTCCCTGAACAAATCCTCAGCTGCGTGCCTCAGACTGGGGGGTAGATAAGCCAGGATATCCACCAGCTTTTCCCCACCTCTTTCCTCAATTTTGCCGTGGATCGAAGAATACGTTGCTCCAGAGACTTCCATGTTCCTTGAAAGTTGTTTGGAATTGAAACGTCGAATTTCGCCAAGTATGATGTGTATGCCGCGCTCTCCCCCCAAGGCTTGAATGAACGGTGCTTTTCGCTGAATTGGGTCGCATAAACTCTCCCACTGCTCCAGTGGGAATATGTCCTCATAAATGTCACATACGTCGCCAAGCTTGCGTATGGTTCCACCCATATTGCCGGAAACTTCCAGCTGAGTGCTTTTCAGGCCGTCAGAGTCGATGTAATCTGAGAAGCTCCATGTGACTGGACTTGTGCAGTCCCTTAAGCCGTTGACGTGGGAAAGTTCCCTATGCCTCAAACATTTGATTCTGCTCAACCTATACACCTCCCGAGGGTCCAGGTTTGTCGTCCAATCTGTCGCCCAAGAAGGCAGATTTGGAATTGTCGTGGGAGTGACGACAGTTAGGAGCATCTTCAGGCCTATGGCGTCTATCAAGTCCCGAGAAAGCTGGGCAAAGACCTCAGATGTTGAACGACTGTAGTTGACTCGGATGGTGGGAAAGATCGGCTGGTTGTCATCGTATGAGTCAGAGGTACTGGAGGAATCGGACGGGCTGATGCCTAGGTACTGCTGTGTGTCCTGATTCACTAGCGGCAAGATGGCAAACATCTTATCCCTAGCGTCTGTGGCACCAAATTCTCTGGTAGATTCCAGTAATCGTAAAAGTCGGACTGGGTATGGTAGTTGCCATGAACTAGCGGTAAAGAATCGGCGGGATACGAATGATCCTGCATTGCCAAGTAAGTGGGTAGGCACTTGCTCGAAAGCGTCCCAAGTGACGCTCTTCTCTCCACAAATGACAATTGCTGCCCTGGCAACTTTGATTTCTTGAATAACCCAAACACGTGTGAACCACCGGCGTCCAAAGAACCTTTGGATCACTTCATTGCTGGGTTTCTCTGGTGTTTCTCCTGCATCGGAGGGAGCATGTAGATCCTGTATCCATTCCATGACGGCGTCGCTGTCATCCTCCTGTCCTTTTTCGCCCAGATAGACAACCACGCGTGAGGCGTTATGGTAAATCCGGGTCATCAAGGTCAACTGATGGTTGCGCTCGGGAACATTCACCTGGTTGATGCAAATAGCGTCTACCCAAAGTATCCGTGTTGCCTCGGCCGATCGTAATCGCCGGAGAGCCATTACGCAGCTCGTCGTGACGTGAAGTTGTGTGTTCGGGCCCATATAAGTTGCTGGTGACTTGATCTCAATAGCCTCAGTCTTGTTTGGGTCGCCCCAAACGTAAGAGAGTGCTTCATACGGCGGAGCGCTTGTCAAGTTGTGAACGAAGAGTCGGATTACAATAGGGCTGTCTCGCTGACCAGGCTGCAGCTCCAACAGACGGATTGAGTCATCGTCACCCAGCTGTTCATCAGTAAATGGAGAATTTGGTGGACGGCTCATGTTAGAAGTAGGCGTGAACAAGAAAATAAAGCTAGTTGCGAAAATGGCAAAGAAGCAATCGTAGTAGAATGCCTCAGCAGAGGCCTCATGGGATGAAGTAGCCTGAACGTCCCAGGCAGCAGCGTATCCATTCAAGGTGGGGAGTTAGCATTTGATAGGTAGGTTCTGTGTGATTGATGAGGGGCCATCAGTTGGGCCACAGATGTGACCAATGGACCTGATTGGCACTTGCAATATTACTTATGCAGCTTGGCCGTGCAAGTAATAGGCTCTCGGTGCTGACAGTGAATGTTAAATCTGACAGCCGTTATTTTTGCTTTCGTACCTAATCAATTGTTTTTCATGGTCGCAATTTTGGCAAATCGGACCTCAAATAACCTCACCACTTGAGTTATCGAGAGACCAGCTCCGGATTGACTGGTATGGGCGACAAATAATCTGCGGTCGAAAGTGGTGATGGAAGATGAAAGCCCGAAGAAGACTGGGTAACTTGGTGAAAAACAAAATGAGACAGCTTTGCAGGTTTCTTGACACTCTTACGCGTGTTAATACACACCAGTACGCTGGAAAGAAGAAATATCTTTGGCTGAGGAGAACACGAACATATCTACGAAAACCTCTGATGATTATAAAGCGATAGGTCCCGTCCGTAAGACGATCCATGAAACTGGGACTGAAGGACACATTACTGACGGGCCTTGCAAAAGCCAGCAGTCATAAGGATATAACAGTTCAGGAGATCTGAAGTATGACCATAGAACACAACGCAAATGGTCTGTACCTTCTTCCATGTTTCAATCTATGAAAGAACCAGACTGCCTGCGCCTACATGATCGATGGCATGAATAATGGAAGCTGTGATGGAGAGACCAGTTCAACTCTGCTTCGTCAGTGCTATAAAGGTATCGCTAGCCGAGTATCAGCTACGAATCAATCCAATATTATGACAAACGACGGAGCAAGATTATGTATTGGCCAAATATAAGACCAAGTAACCGTCCCGTCGAGAACTTAGTTTGTCCACGAATAGATATCTCAGCTGAGGTCGTAACCTGTGTTCCTCATGAGCCGGAGCGGCGTGCGAGATACTGGTTTGTTCCAAAAAGTAACCGCCACAGGACGCCTCTTTAAAACATAGAATGAAGGCATCAAGTATTCGGCCGTCAATGCTTCAGCGAACTAATCGCACCGGATTAATGTAATAATCCAAGATATTCGGTCCTAGAAATCATAAAAAGGGCCATACTGCTTGGCAATTTGCGCTTCCCACAAATCGTTTGTTTCGAGGGGTTGGAGTCTTAGATCCATTGCCATGCGAGGAACGCCATGCAGGTCGCCCGTTTAAGAAAGCCATGAGACTTCCCAGGTTAACCTCTACCAAGACCGTCCCCGAGAACCAACTGTCGGCTAGAGCCATTGTCGTCGCTTGGTTATTGTATTTGTGAAACGTAGAAGGAAATAAGAGGGCGAAGGACTGCATGGAGAACGTGATCTCGCGCCCATCTCATGGAACCTTCTCTTACATTTTCCTGGTGACGGTGATCGAATCTCATACTGTCATTGTACCCCATGATCAGCAATAATCCACCTTCTCAGAGTGGCATCAGAATCCACTCCTTGCAGCCTGATTTATGATCCATAGATAGAACCAAAAAACATGATGCTGGTCGACCCTGCCAAATCCAAATAAGGCATAGCTAGCTTTTGGTAAGTCACAAATGACATCCAGCGCTCCTCAATCTGTTCGGCTAACCTGTGACCAAGTCGTTCCAATTCTTTGCATGAACAAGGGAGACTGCAGGACGGTAAATACCAAGGTTGGCCATGAGTCACATGCAATTACGTCTGGCCTCAAGTACCCGAGCATACGTTTAAAATAAGCCGGGAGGCATGACTGAGGACGATCGTCGTTTATGACGTGCGAGGTTTACATCACATGTTCAAGGTAAGAATGATGTTTCTCTGAGCCCATTGCTGCATGAGACCTAGAGTTTCGTGATCGACGTGGAAATTTGGTGCTTGGGCTGTTCTCAACCAATCATGCCCCGTGTTCCATTGTTCCTCGAATCCATCTCATTTATCGCAGCAGGGTGAGGATGGAAAGGCAGTGACTCATACTCTCTTTCCAGCGACAGCCGAGCACTATTTAAAAGGGCGTCAGACATTGCGGTAACTATGTTACTTCTCACATTTGCCCACTCATCTCTACTTGTCTCTCAAAACATGGCTGTACGAAAGGCCAGGGTTTGGACTGGCCCATCTGAGGCGCGATGCCATCATAGCTGGCCTGGCTCGGGAGAGCTTCAAAGATGCAGGTGGAGCTGCTTGCGTTTATTCGTCACACCGAATAAAAGGGAGACATAGTACAAGACAGAGTGGCTTTATGAGATCGAAGGAAATAAGAGACGAATTCGCCCGCTGCGCAGAATTTAGCCGCGACAATGCCTAAACCCATGAGCTTCAAAAAGTGTAGGGCATGTCGGCCTTGACGACCAGAAGATGATCAAATTTGGTGCAAATTGGACGCCAGGTCTTGTGTCCCGATTCATACTTGCCCGTGTCTGCTTGCTATCGTCTCAATTATTAGCCCAGAGCTATCTGTATATAAGACGTTCACTGGTGTGAGAGATGACGTGTGACCAAACAAATACCTCCCCAGTGCACAGGTTGGAGCCAGTTGAATTGGTACTAACGGACAAGATGACCGCTAGCCCATACCCCTGAAACGTGTGCAACGGGATTTGCCCTTTCATTCTTGGGACATCGCTTCTTCGCTATATCTCCTCATTGGCATTAGAGTATTGTTTCCGTATCAGCGACTGCTACGCGTTTCGATGGGACACAAAAGGACCATCAGTGGCTATGAGAGGAAATGGGACAAGCTTTGTCGTCGGTTGAAGGTCATCTTATGGCAAACAAGAGATTTGACACTAGATAATGCAGTTCATCCAGATTGGTCCTTGCGGAAATAAGAGGATACGCTGTCGCAGTGCTCCTTTTATTCTGTACACACCCGGCACAGTGGATTAAATAGCGGAAGTGAAAGTCGTGAACATCCATCCATGAGCAACCATTTGCCTATAAATATCAACACCGGCCGAAGCAAAACTTAACTAACAAGCCAAATTCGACCCGCACGAGGAGTCAGTTTGAGAGAGCTCGCTGCAAACCTGCTTCTCAGCAAGTCCATATCCATATACAGCCAGCACACGAACCGCTGTCAGACGAGTTGCAACATTCCATGACCTTTCTTTCAGATGGCTTGCGGGTGTTCCTTACGAATAACATCAGACCGGTAGAAAGAGACAACAGGGACACTACGCAAATCATACCCAAGGAGTTGACCGTTGGTTCAACCATACATTGTCCTCATTACCCGAGACTTGCACTCAAAGAGTAAACCGAATCGACGCCACAGATGCGAGCGACATTCGTCTGCTGGCGAGAAATCAAGTGTGGGGGTGTGAAATGCCTTTTATGTCTGATTGATGGCCTCCCGTCACTGTCAACGCCGACACTGAATCACGACATAGTCTGACGGGCACAACGTTCCATTGTAGCTTATGTGAAACTGACAGGGAAAGAGCACGGCTGGGGACGAAAACTCAATCATGCTAATCGACGGCAGACTTCATCGGAACGGTTCACAAGGCTTGGCAAGCCTAAAAACGGAGTCGAAGCAACGCTTTGATTAAACTGTATAGTCTACCCATCTGTCTTCTCTCGGTATAGACATTATGCAAAAGCGCCCACGATAGCCATGAGCGACGCACCGCCAATGACGGCCAGGTACGCATTAAGTCTCTTTCTGCCGTTGAGTATCTTGTAACTCTTTTCTGAAAGAAAGTCCTCTGCCAAGAGCTGAACTAGCCCTGCGAATAACAGCAAACCGGCCGAGATGGCATTCATGAAGCCCACCATGAGCAAACCCGTCTGGCTCATTGGGTCGTACAAGTTATGGACAATCAATCCAATGAGTTGTCCGAGCGGCGTTGTGCCGCCGAAAGCAAGAACCATGAGCCAAGGTCGCATTGAGGACCGGGGGAGCTGGATGGCGGCGATACGGCTGCCGAGGGCAAGACCCTCAAACGTCTGGTGGAAGCTGATTGCAATGAGGAAGACGATGAACGTCGGGCCTGTCGCGACGGAGATGGCCATGCCGATGAAGACACTGTGGAAGAGAATGCCGCCTTCGAGGAGCAGACATTGTCGGAGCAGCCGGCTTTGCTCCTCTTCGGTGACGACCTGCGGTGCGCCTGGGGTAACCGTAATCTTAGGACGGTCGTCTGAGCTTCTGCGCCTGGGCCCTTCGGCAGTCGCGGGATCGAGTTCGTCGATGTCGAGGTCGATATCGGATGCGTCGTCGTCGAAGCTGTCGCGTTCGTTTGCGAGCCGGGAATTTGCTTTTGCCTTTGTCGGCGTGGAGCTCGGGAGAGGCGAGGCGCCGGCCATCAGCCCCTGGGTCGACTCCATGTTATCGAGATTGATGTCTGATGGACGGTGCGAGCCGCCTCTGCGCGTGGCTAGACTGCTAGCCGGCTGCCTACCTCCACCCGATGCGCCTTCGTTGTCCTCCTCGTCCCAGTACTCGTACTCGTGCGAATGTGAATGGGAGTGGCCAGCTCCACGGGTAGCCAGATACGACTCGAGAGCCACGACGGACAAGGCGGCAATCATGGCTACCAGACCGGCCGTCTGCGGGTAGCCTTTGTTGAAGATGCGGGGAAGGCATGGGTCGGTAAGGGACGTGAAAGCTGTTGGGAGAAGATGTACAAAGGATGTCGCGAGCAGGACGCCGGTTCCGAAGTGCTGGCAGTAAAAGATGATTCTGCTCTGAGGTCGGCCTTTCGATGTTCGCCGGGGGAGGAGAGGAATGCCGCATGCTGGTGCAACGAGGTCAGCTGGTGCTCCCTAGATCTTGGCAACCTTGAGGGCCACGTTGATCGAGAATCCCAAAACGCGAGCCCTCGTTTGTAGGCCCCCAAAGTCGCATTTCACGA